AGCAAAGGTCCAGGTCGTCTCTATGCATGGTCTTCGGTTGATGCAGCATCAGTTTTCGCATTTTTTTAAATTGTGTTTATTATTTTTCTTTCTTCCTTTTTTTCCTTTTCGAGACAGGGCTTTGCTGTGTCGCCTTAGCTGTCCTGGACTCAATTTGTAGACCAGCCTAGCCTTGAACTCACAGAGATCTGTGTGCCTCTGTCTCCCCAAGTACTGGGTTTACAGGCATTTATTTCTATGTAATAAAAGGAAAAACAGGCATGGGAGCACACACCTTTAATCCCAGCACTCAGGGAGGCAGAGGCAGGCAGACCTCTGTGAGTTTAAGGCCAGCCTGGTGTTCAAAGCAAGTCCAGGACAGCCAAGGCTACATAGGGAAACCTTGACCAGAAACAAACAACAAAACAACAACAAAAAACACAAACCAAACCAAAACAGCAGCAAAAACAAAACAAATGAAAATAAAAAGATAAAAACAGCAAAAACAAAACAACCCAAAACGGGATTCCGCATTGGTATTGGTGCCTTGATGTGTGCAAAGATGTGTCTGCATTGCTCCTGTTGTTCTGTCTCAGCAGTGCAGACATCTACAGCACAGATGGGTCACATAGCCGTGTTATTGCGATTACAGTCTCTACCTACAGGACCCCTCATTCCTTCTTTAAAGCATCTGTGCGGATGAACAGATCACACTTGAAGAACTGATTGTTGGGGAAAAACAGCCCCATGGGATTTAAGAAATGAAGGACAGACTTGGAGCCTGTGTACCATTGTCTGTCCTTACACTGTTAAATTTCTTAGTCCTCATGGGATAGGTCAAACAACGCCATCCTTGCTTATTGTTTGCGTGCTAGTTGAACTCGGTTCATCGGTCATGAAAGATTGTAAGTAGAATCAATAAGGAACTCGAGTGAGGTTCAAGTCAGTCATGAAACATCAAACACTAGGTAATTTTGTAGAAGGTATTTAAGCCACGGGGTTGGTTGAGTGATTAAAGAAATTATTGCAGGGAATTGAGGGAGGGGTCTTGGGCTCATTCATCTGCAGTGACTACAGATCATTGCAGTTCTGATCACCACAGTGCTTCTAATCCCTCTGCCACTCCAGGAAAACAGCCCATAGCATCGCTCTGGTCAAGCACATACTTCTTTTGTGTGTGTGTGTGTGTGTATAATTTTTTTATTATTGTTAATTACACTTTATTCATTTTGTATCCCCCCATAAGCTCCTCCCTCCTCCCCTCCTGATCCCACCCTACCTCCCCTTTCTGCATGCATGCTCCTCCCCACATCCACTGATAGGGGAGGTCCTCCTCTCCTTCCTTCTGATCTTAGTCTATCAGATCACATCAGCAATGGCTGCATTGTTTTCTTCTGTGGCCTGGTAAGGCTGTTCCCCCCTCAGGGGGAGGTGATCAAAGACCAGGCCAATCAGACTTCTTACTGTAGCTTTGGCTTAGTGGATAGGAATCAACCTGAGTAACCTCCACTTGGCTCTGCCTGGATACTGGAAGGCTAAGAGGGTGCCGGTTTTGCTCTCTGAGTGGCCTTGCAGCTGGACATTGGATACTGGAGTGCTACTATAGAAAAACTTTTAGACGTCCATTAAGGTCAATAGAAAGAGCAGAAGCAGTAGGATTATGGCTTCTTCCTTGCTTCTGACTTCAAAGTCTCCTGTTAGTGATGGTATTGATGTGGCCCAAGTTTCATTCATAATCTTTTTTAAAATTTTTTTATTAATTACACTTTATTCATTTTGTATCCCCCATAAGCCCCTCCCTCCTTTCCTCCCGGTCCCACCCTCCCCCCCTTTCTGCATGCATGCCCCTCCCCAAGTCCACTGATAGGGAGGTCCTCCTCTCCTTCTTTCTGATTTTAGTCTATCAGTTCTCATCAGAAGTGGCTGCATTGTCAGGGTTCTAGGTTATCTCCAAGGATAGTCCTTGGTTGGAGTATGAGTCTCTGGGAAGTTGCCTGTGTTCAAATTATCTTGTTCTGTTGCTCTCCTTCATTCATAATCTTTAAAAACATAAATCTTTATTATTATTATTATTGTTACTATTATTATTATTTACAATTTATTCACTTTATATCCCAGTTGTAGCCTCCTCTCTCTTCTCCTCCCTGTCCCACTGTCCCTCCCTTTTCCTCCTCTATCATTCTTCAATAGTCTACTGATAGGGGAAGTTCTCCTCTCCTACTGTCTGACCCTAGCCTATCAGGTCCCATCAGGATGACCTGGATCTACTTCCTCTGTGGGCTTGCTAGGTGACCCCACCAGGGTGATGTGATCAAGGAGCAGGCAATCTGGTTCATGTCAGAGACTGTCTCTTCTGCCCTTACTAGGGAATCCACATGGAGACTGAGCTTTCTTTGTTCTACATCTGAGCAGGAGTCTAGGTCCTCTTTATGCATGCTCTTTGTTTGATGAATCAGTCTCTGCAGTGCCCCCTGGGCCCTGCCTTTTTTTTTTTTTTTAACTTTGTTGCTCTCCTAGTGTGGCTCCTGTCCCCTCCAGGTCCTTTTATATCCCTCTTCTTCCATAAAACTACTTGCACTCTGTCCAAAGTTTGGCTGTGAGTTTCTGCATCTACTTCAATTCCCTGCTGGGCATAGTCTTTCAGAGGGCATCTGTGGTAGGCTCCAGTCCTGTTTCCTCTCTTCTACAACTTCTGTTTTCCCTTCTGAATGAGAATTAATCAATCTGGTGCATTCTTGGAAAACTGGGAATAGTACTACTGAAAGCTATATCTATAGCTACATCATTATACTATATATAAGCTATATCTATATATACTAGATATAAGCTATATCTATATCATTATGCTACTATATATACTACTATATAGATCATTATACTACTATATCATCATACTCCTATATCACTCCTGAGCATATATCTGAAAGATGTCTAACCATACAACAAGGGCATTTGCTCAACTATGTTCATAGCAACTTTATTCATAATAACTCATATCTGGAAACAGCCTAGATGTCCCTCAACCGAAAAATGGATGCAGAAAATTGTGAAACATTTACACAGTGGAATACTACTCAGCAATTAAAAAGAAGGAAATCATGAAATTTGGAGGCAAAAGGTGAGAGCTAGAAAATATCATCCTGAGTGAGGTACCCAGAAGCAGAGAGACATGCATGTTATACACTCACTAATAAGTAGATATTAGCTATAGAACATAGGAGAAACATACTAAAATCTACAGACCTGAAGAAGCTAACAACAAGGAGAACCCTAGTGAAGATGCTTAATTTTCATATTTTTATTTTGCAAGTGAATAGGGAAAATAGTTTTGTTTTGTTTTGTTTTGTTTTGTTTGGGAAACACAATAGATGCATGGGAGAATGGAATCCAAGCACCAATTGATCCTGTTCCTACAACTTAATTTTCTATTTTTCTGTGATTTTCAAATTTATTCCTCTTCATCGTTGTCCAGGGGCTAGCCATTTTAATTACTGAATGGCCCTTGTTTTATGATGATTTCATACCACCTAGCACCAGCCTCTTCTCCATTACTGAATCTGGATTTGGTAGCTCTACCACCTTATGTCTCTGCCCTCCTCATAGTTCTGCCCATCTTATAGTTCTGCCTTTCCTGTAGCTTTACCCTCTGACTGCTCCACCCTCCTTATATCTCTGCCTGCCTGATAGCTCTGCCTTCCCTAGAGCTCCACTGTCCTTATAGCCTTGCCCTTCTTATAGCTCTACCCTCCTTAGATGAGGATAGTCATCTTCTCTGATCAGCCACGGGAAACCTTGGATTTGATTGCATGTGAGGTGTTTCATTATTTCAGCTACTGAATTCTGACTGTGTACTATATGTTTAACCTATTCTTCCAGATCAAATACTTTGGAGCATAGCTTATTATATTTTATGAGGTTTTGTTATATGTAAGGTCATTAAGAAACCCTTTCTATAGCAACTATTTCTAATATTTTAAAAGTTCTTTTATGCTATTCTTGGAGGAAAAGTGGTAGAACAATATAAGCAGATTTTTGCTACATCAGTGTGCATTAGTGTTTCCTCAAAAAATTCCGTGATTCAATGATAAAATTAAGGCAGCCTTTTTCTTTTTTGTGCTGTTTTTTTTCCCTCATGTAATATTTTAAACACATTTAAAGTTTAAGGCACATGAATACAAATTGTCCAAAACAGGAAATTCTAATCACACATTCTTTTTCTTATTAGATTGATTCCTATCATTGCTTAAATTGTAATGATAGTGTTTATCATCATCGTCATCTTCTGTCAAGGAAATTGACCAGAGCACATTGCAGAACTGCATTGAGCATATTTTACTGACATTGATAAAAGAAAAGTTGCAGGTTTTATTCATTGGATACAGCAGCATATCTTATAGTGTCCAAGCTCTCTTTTAAGAAATGGGACAAATATGTTAACTTGCATACATCTGTTTAAGTGAAAATCTTGTTTCCAATGAAAAGAATGACTATGTCCTAAAGTAATCACATAGTACAGAAGTGTAAATAACAAAGTGACAGCTCCTTCCATCTCCCTTTCCTACATCTTCATCTTCTAACAACTGTTGACAGTAGAGCTTACTGTGCCAGACTGTAGAACACACACACATCCCTACACTGTTGTCAGTCGGTGTACTTACACATAAATGAGGCAGCACCAAAGTAAATCTTTGGCAATGCTTATTTTGTTTTCATTGATAAACCACACTCCCAGCAGTATCTCTGCTTTTTAGCTTTTATTGAGATTGCATACTAAAGAAGTAAATAACAAGAATTTTCTTCTCATTACTACTTTTCTAGATTTTGTAGAAGAAACTATGAAGTTACAGAAAATAATTAATGGCAGCCATGATTGGATTTTTAAAGATATATTCCTTCTTACCAAAAGAACGAACTAACTTCTAGCTTTTGGCTTGGCAGCATTTATTGGGCATAAAATCTTGTGACAGGAGTTCATTTTCATTTGCTTGGCTGACTTTTGAGAATGATATTCTTCTTTTCAGATGTGATTGATCTCACCGGAGATGACAAAGATGATCTTCAGAGAGCGATTGCTTTGAGTTTGGCAGAATCAAACAGGACATTCAGAGAGACTGGAATAACAGACGAAGAGCAGGCCATCAGCAGGTAAGAGCAGTCTGTAAAGAGCATTCTGTATTACAGAAAAATGCAGACTTTAACTTTAAAAGCGATAAGATATAATATCATTCAATTTAAATAAATCATTTAAATACACCTGTACTGTTTTTATGTTTTGTGTAATCAAACTTTATTTAGTTCTAAAATTTTAAATTATTTTGAAATTGTCAAGCACATAATTTTGTCACAAATTTATTTCTTTAATGTGTGTTTGTTTCCTTCTGTAATTTCTTCTGAATCTGCTGTCCAGATCAACCTCAGAATTCTATTACAGGAACTAATAAACCTTTTGTTTTATTTTTTGTAATAAGCAAATGGTAAATATGTTAGACATATAGTAAATAATAGTTTTGGTTCGTGATACTTTCTAATGCCTTTGTATGTACATAGGCATGTTCATGTGTGCTTGTGTGTGGAGGCTAGAGGTCAGCTTTGGTTGTGATGCCTTAGAAGCTGTCTAACAGCTTGTTGTTAGACAGTTAGAAGCTGTCTTCCTTGGTTTTTGAGACAGTTTCTCATTGGGACCTTTTGTTCACCAATGTGATGTGGGAGAGATGTTATAAAAGAAAAACGGTATACTTGTTGCAAATGTTTCTTTGTAAATATGCATATATCTTTGTTTATATCAATTTATATAAGCATGTAAATATGCAAACATCTAGAATTTTAAAATCCATATTAGTATCTATAATTCTTTGTCATGTGTTTTCTTGATGCTTTTGTTTTTAGCTCAGTTTTTTTCTGAAAATTACTATTTATTAGGTTTATATTTACATTGCCACCTTACAAATGCACATTGCTAGATTATGATCGATTTCTTCAGCAGTAATCCCTGATCCTTTTTATTTAAAGGAAAATAAGGAAAAAGTATTTTATTCCATTAAATTCTAGGAAATATAGGCTGATAAGAGACTAATTGTGGTTGATCCAGACTGTGCCTCATCCAAGAAGAATTCCATTATAATGGGGGCAAGCAGTTAGAGATGATGTATATGCAAAATTCATGAACATTTTACAGTTTTTAATTTTTTTTCACTATTTATTTATTATATATTCCTATGAAGCCCACTCTCTCAACTCCACCAGTCCCACTCTCCCTCTCACTTTCCCTCATCCTCTTCCCCTACTCCTTTGAAAGGAGGAGTTCTCCACTGTTGCCATCTGCCCATAGCGTGTTAAGTCTCATCAGAGCTGCCTGGATCCTCTTCCTCTGTGGCCTGGCAAGGCTGCATCATCAGGGGCTAGTGATCAAAGAGCAGTCAACAGAGTACATGGTAGAGGCAGCCCCTGCTCCCTTCACTCAGAGATCCACATGGAGACTGAGCTGCAAATCAGCACATCTGAGCAGGTGTTCTAGGTCCTCTCCATGCATGGTCCTCCATTGGTGCATCAGTCTCTGCAGGACCCAATATTTTACATTTGATTAGGTTTTCATTTTATTTATTGCTTACTTACATTTTTTTAAAATTTACGTGTTGATTTCTTTGAAAATTTTAAGACAGGGTCTTATTGGGTATCCAAAGGTGACTTGAACTCGTGACCTCCTGCCTCCAATTATAAGGGCATACATTGATGAGGACCTCTCCCATCAGTGGACTTAGAGAGGAGCAGGGAGGAGATGAGGGAGGGTAGTTGGTGATGGGGGGGGGAATGAGGAAGGGGGCTCCTGCTAGGATACAAAGTGAATAAACTGTAATTAATATAAAAAATAAAAATTTGGAAAAAAGTAAAAAAAAAAATAAAACAATACATACTAATTTAAGTTACATGTTGTTTATTGTTGGCAATAGTTCTAAGAAAGTTGTGAATAAGCAATTTCCCTGGAATGTGATTACAAAAACCGAGATGTTATATCCTAGGTTAACACCTCCCTATGGTCCCCTAGTTTAGACAAGAGACAAATGTGAGAAATGTGAGCTTCTGCCAACATACTGTGGCATTCATTTTTATAGTATGCTTTGTAATAGGATATGAATACTCCAAAATAATGGCAAGTGGTAGTATATTGACATTTCATCTTCATGGTACTCCCTTAGGACCACCATTGCATATATACTCTAATCTTTACCAGATTGTCACTGTGTGGCCCATGGACCTCTGAGTGTGTGTGTGTGTGTGTGTGTGTGTGTGTGTGTGTGTGTGTGTGTATGACGTATTTGAAGCTAAGAACTGTGATTATAATGGCAATCGGATTGAGGCTTTCTGTTTCTTCGGAAATAATTTTTCTTCACTTGATCTGTTGCTTCTTGCCACTGGCATGCTCTGAATGGCATCTAATTGCTATTCAAGTAATGTCAGCTTCACATGTTACTTCCCTCAACGTGTTAGAGCTATGTGACAAATCCTAAAATTCACTCATCATATGATGTTGCTTAGGGTGTGCTCTAATAGTGTAACTCTTCTTCAACACCGTATTTTTTATTTCTTAAGAGTTCTTGAAGCCAGCATAGCAGAAAATAAAGCATGTTTGAAGAGGACACCTACAGAGATGTGGAGGGACTCTCGAAACCCTTATGATAGAAAAAGACAAGAGAAAGCTCCAGTTGGGCTGAAGAACGTGGGCAACACATGCTGGTTTAGCGCAGTTATTCAGGTAAGGGTTGGGGTTCTGCTCTCAGCCTGAGGAGCAATGGTGGGCCGAGCTCCTTCCTGCACACTTGAGTAGATGTCAAGGCAGGATGTTCATGTATGCAGTGTCATGCACTGTGATTTCAAATCTCCTTGCCCTTTTGTCTTTCATTCCCAGTGTGACTTGTTTGTTTACCATTCTCTGACTTAGCCTGGGTCTTCCTATATAGCCCAGACTAGCCTAGAAGTAAGAGTCTGCTACCTCAACTCCTGAGTGTTGATGATGGGTATGAGATATCCCACCTGGCTGAATAAAGATCTCCTTGTTTTATAATAGTTATTTTTTTTTAAATAAATTTCAAACAAGCTGCCAATATGTAGCCCAGGCTAGCCTCAATTTCCTGAATACTGGGAGTACAGACATGTAGCACAACTGTTTCTACCATGAAGCTTTCAGTAACACACAAGTTAATACCTTCCACTTATGTCAGATTAATTTCTCCTGCTTTCTGGCTGTTAGGAATTGCTGCAATTTTATTGGTTTCTGAAGAGGTAGAAGATAATTTTGTGGGTATTTTTCTAAAAGTTTAGAGAATAATTGTAACCAAGGTAGGAAATTTTTGTGAATCAGATCAGATTTATTTATATTTAAGGAAAATATTTATATTATTACAATCATAATTACAAATTGATTCTTTAAGGAGACATTTTGTTTGAGGCTGATGTGGATTTGCTGATCTATAACAATACATATGTGAGGAAGTGAAAAAGAATAAATATTGATCAATCAAGAAAAACACATTTTATTTTTGTCTTAGAAAATTCTTATGGAATGTTTGGTTAGCTTTTTCTAAAATGAGAGCTGTTTGTAAATACACATACCCATTATCTTCTCAAATAGGAAGATTTTTTTTGGTAATATATTTGGTGTGATCTCTGATTTTTAGCTTTATATATAATAATGACAATTGCCATAGGTTTTTTTTTTATCATTCTGTGTTGGTATGAATAATTAAATTTCAAAATTTAAATAAAATTTTTCTAAATGTTTTGTGTTTAGTTTAATAAGACAGTTAAAATATAGCTTATGGTTTACTGTTCCTAATAAGGACTTAAAAATCCTTGGGCATATGTACCATTTGTTTTATGTTCAAGAAAACTATTTTGTAGTCTTTCTGGCTCTATGTTTTTTATGATGGTTTCAGTTTGTACAGTGTCACAACTATTTCACACCTTCCATTTTCTGCCAGCTTGTTGTTACTTGTTGGTGACGAATCTGTGATTTGAACTGTTTTTTCTCTACAAAGTGTAAGCTTCAAGCCACCCTCCTTTGCTTGTAGCACATGTGCCATATAAACAGATTTTCTTTGCTTTTCTGGAGTCATGCCTCATTCTTATGGTAGACATTAATAAGTAAAGTAGCTCATTACTTTGTTTTCTAATACATTCACAGTCTGAAGAATATCTGGACTGCAGTGAATGTGTAGCAGTTCTTTGACAGTAGGCTTCATGCTGAATTTTGTATTCACTGTGTGCCCAAAACAATTAATAATGTTTATTTGGCATTTTGGAGTCTTGGAGGCATTTGTCTTAGGATCATCTTTGTAGATTGTTTCTCTTCTCTTTTATAGAAGTGAGGTTCTATTCGTGGAACAGTTAGACATTATGAACCACAGATATAAAGCTGTGCTCTGAGTGTTCCAGAAAGTGTCACTCTGCCTTATACACAGCCTGGTGTACAGTAACATTTCTCCCTCATCAGGTGCTTCCATTGAGATGTTCAAGAAGAGGAAGTCTTACAAGCAACATCTGTTAGCTAGATAAATCCTGCTCACTATTGACAATAGTCACAGAAAGTTCCCATTTGAAGTGATAAGTTAACAGAGACAAGGAAACTCCATTTTATGTTAATAAGTTCTTTTTCTATCTCAGTTCAAATGTGACAGAAATCATCCAACTACCCTAAGTCCAATAATCGACCAAGATTGTGTGAGTGTGTGTTTCTGTGTATGTAAGGAACATAAGGGGGAAAAATGTGACTTATTCTTCTTAATAGAAAGTAGTAATTTTTATTCTTCCTTAATTTTATTAGTAGTAATTTTATTCGTTTTGAAGTTTTATTTGCGTCTAGGAGTGCCTACTTCTATGACAGCAAATTTAGCTACTGAAGAACATTTGACTTCTGTGGGAGAAACCTAATCACCCAGTACAAACAATCCCCCACTTGAGAAGTGTGGATTATCACAACCTTATAAAAGTGACGTGGAAATCTGTGTGTATAGAGAATGTCACAAGTTCACTCACAGCTGTATTGATGGTATCTTCAGTGTCCACCATTACGTCAAGGAGCTATTTATTTCTATGTTTAGCAGTTAGAATCTTTTAATTTTCCTTTTGTTGGCATTGCTTCCTTCCCAGCTGTGAGCTGAGATGTGACTGTTCTGTATGATGGAACATTTACAGTTGCCTTGGTTAGCATCCACTACAAAGTGTGCATTGGAATTTACAAAGTTGGTTGCTATTTCTTCAAACTGACACAGATGCTGTGCGCAGTTTCAGTTCCAGAATATCCCACAGTCAGACAGCGCTCAGCTTGAACTTACGTGAGACAAGACGAAGGTGAAAGTGTCACCTCCACAGATCAACAAACAGCACCAGCTGCTTCTCCATGGACAGGCACTTTAAAATGAACTGGAATTCCTTACTTAGTAAATATTTATAAAATGGAGAATGAAGTTTCTGTACTTGCACATCCACAACAAAGGGCATTCAAAGCATAGTAGTGGGATTCCCATCCTCACAAGAGTGGTTCAGAGTTCTGCCTGACACATTTCCACTTTCTGTTGTCAAGCTTTCTTCCTCTGCTTCTGTACTGCATAGATGACGTACCAGTTGCCATTTCTCAGGATCACTGTCTTGTCATCACCCTAGTCGAGTGTGGCAGCATTGCTCCTCCTTGTAGTCTTGAGATGCTCCAGTGAGTCCTTGTGCATCAGAGTCTTCATTCGTGTTTATGCAGAGGCCTGTGATGTGTGCTGATTTCCCTCTTTGACACTGCATGCATCTGGAAGCTCTGCCTTCCTGTATTCCTTTTCCTTGTTTCATTTCCTTGCTTTGCTGCTGTGTTCAAAACCTATTTATTTATGTAGGTTCTGGCTTTAGAATGGCGCCTTTCTGCTTAGACGTGGACCTGAGGCTTTCTTCCTATCTTTCCTGGTTCCTACTCCTCCTATTGGCCTTTTAACCTGCAATTTTTATATGGTGCTAAATGTCTTATAAGAAAAAACCATGTATTTTAAATGTCCTTTAATGTATTGTTCTCTTTTGTCACTCATGCTATGTGTATTTCATAAGTTTTAATTAGACGTATGAATAAATGAGCTGGGCACAGTGCTCTGCTCCTGTTCTCCCTTCTGCTCAAATGGCCCAATCAGGAGAATTTCTGGAGTTAAGTAGTTGGGGACATCCTGGGTGGCATTGCAAGATCCATTCTCAACAAACCAAATATAACAAGAAGGGGAAATGAATTTATTTATGTACTCAAAATCTTTAATTAAAAAGTCTTCACTGGTAAGTGGTGGCACACATCTCTAACCCGAGCAATTGAGAGAGACAGGCAGATCTCTTGAATTCAAGGCCAGCCTCATCTACAGTTTGAGTTCTAGGACAGGCAGAGCTACACATACAAACCCTGTTTCAAAAAAGCAACAACAACAGCAACAATACTTCCCTGGGTGTGGTGGGACAGACCTTAATCCCAGCACTCAGCAGCAGAGGCATGTGGGTCTGTCTCTCTGAAGGCAACTCTAGCCTCTCTCAGGCCAGCCAGGACTGGAGAGTATCTCTCTGCCATAAAACAAACAAACAAATGAACAAACAAACAAATAAGAAACAAAGAAAAGAGGAAGAAGGTTATAAGTCAGCACAGATCACTTTTCTTTTTTTTAACTTTTATTAATTACACTTTAGTCACTATGTAACCCCCCCATAAGCCCCTCACTCCTCCCCTCCCAATCCTACCCTCCCACCCCCTTCTTCATGCATGCCCTTCCCCCAAGTCCACTGATAGGGGAGGTCCTCCTCTCCTTCTGATCTTAGTCTATCAGATCTCATCAGGAGTGGCTGCATTGTCATCTTCTGTGGCCTGGTAAGACTGCTTCCCCCTCAGGGAGAGGTGATCAAAGAACAGGCCAATCAGATTATGTCAGAGGCAGTTCCTCTTCCCATTACTATGTAACCCACTTGGACACTAAACTCCCATCGGCTACATCTGTTCAGGGGTTCTAGGTTATCTCCATGCATGGTACTTGGTTGGAGTATGAGTCGCTGGGAAGACCCCTGTGTTCAAATTTTCTGGTTCTGTTGTTCTCCTTGTGGAATTCCTGTCCTCTCCAGATCTTACTATTTTCTTCTTCTTTCATAAGATTCCATGCACTCTGCGCAACAGTTGGCCATAAGTCTCAGCGTCTGCTTTGATAGTCTGCAGGGCAGAGCCTTTCAGTGGCCCTCTGTGGCAGGTTCCTAGTTTGTTTCCTGTTGTCTTCTTCTTCTGGTGTCCATCCTCTTTTTCTTTCAGGATGGGGATTGAACATTTAAGTCAGGGTTCCCTCTCTTGATTAGTTTCTTTAGATGTACAGATTTTAGTAGGTTTATCCTATATTACATGTCTATATGAGTGAGTATATACCGTGTGTGTCTTTCTGCTTCTGGGACAGCTCACTCAGGATGATCCTTTCGAGGTTCCACTATTTACCTGCAAATTTCATGATTTCTTTATTTTTCATTGCTGAGTAATATTTCATTGTGTAGATATACCACAATTTCTGCACCCATTCTTCAGTTGAGGGGCATCTGGGCTGTTTCCAGCTTCTGGCTATTACAAATAAAGTTGCAACAAACATGGTTGAGCAAATGTCCTTATTGTGTACTTAAGCCTTTTATGGATATTTGCCTAGGAGTGGTATGGCTGGATCTTTAGGTAGTGCTATTCCTAGTTGTCTGAGAAAGTGCCAGATTGATTTCCAGAGTGGTTGTACAAGTTTACATTCCCACCAGCAGTGGAGGAGGGTTCCCCCTTTTCCACAACCTCTCCAGCATGTGTTGTCCCTTGAGTTTTTCATTTTGGCCATTCTGATGGGTGTAAGGTGAAATCTCAGGGTTGTTTTGATTTGCATTTCCCTAATGGCTAATGAGGTTGAACATTTCTTTAAGTGTTTCTCTGCCATTTGATATTCCTCTACAGAGAATTCTCTGTTTAGCTCTGTTCCCCATTTTTAAAGTGGATTACTTGGTTTGCTGTTTTTCAGCTTCTTTAGTTCTTTATATATACTGGATATTAGCCCTCTGTCAGATAAAGGGTTGGTGAAGATTCTTTCCCAATCTGTAAGCAATTGCTTTGTTTTGATGATGTTGTCCTTTGCTTTACAGAAGCTTTTCAGTTTCATGAGCTCCCGTTTATTGATTGTTGCTCTTAGAGCCTGTGCTGTTGGTGTTGTGTTCAGGAAGTTGTCTCCTGTACCAATGAGTTTTAGGGTCTTCCCCACTTTTTCTTCTAACCAATTTACAGTGTCTGGTTTTATGTTGAGGTCTTTGATCCACTTGGACTTTAGTTTTGTTCATGGTGATAAGTATGAATCTATTTGCAGTTTTCTACATGTAGACATCTAGTTAGACCAGCACCATTTGTTGAAGATGCTATCTTTTTTCCATTGTATGGTTTTGGCATCTTTGTCAAAGATCAGGTGTCCATAAGTTTGTCAGTTTATTTCTGGGTCTTCTGTTCGGTTCCATTGATCCACCATTCTGTTTCTGTGCCAGTACCATGCAGTTTTTATTACTGTTGCTCTATAGTACAGCTTAAGATCAGGGATGGAGATACCTCCAGAAGATCTTTTATTGTAGAGTATTGTTTTAGCAATTCTGGATTTCTTCTTATTCCATATGAAGTTGAAAATTTTTCTTTCCAGTTCTGTAAAGAATTATGTTGGTAATTTGATGGGAATTGTATTGACTCTGTAGATTGCTTTTGGTAAGATGGCCATTTTTACTATGTTAATCCTGCCAAGCTATGAGCATGGGAGATCTTTCCATCTTCTGATATCTCCTTCTAATTCTTTCTTTGGAGACTTGAAATTTTTTTTATACAAGTCTTTGACTTGCTTGGTAAGGGTTACACCAAGGTACTTTATGTCATTTGTGGCTATTGTGAAGGGTGTTGTTTCCCTAATTTCTTTCTCAGCCCTTTTGTCTTTTGTATACAGGAGGGCTACTGATTTTTTTTTAGTTAATTTTGTATCCTGCCACTTTGCTGAAGGTGTTTATCAGCTGTAGGAGTTCCCTGGTAGAATTTTTTTGGGGTCACTCATGTATTCTATCATATCATCTGCAAATAGTGATAATTTGACTTCTTCCTTTCCCATCTGTATCCCCTTGATCTCCTTCAACTGTCTTATTGCTCTAGCAAGGACTTCCAGAACAATGTTGAAGAGATATGGAGAGAGTGGGCAGCCTTGTCTTGTCCCTGATTTCAGTGGGATTGTTTTAAGTTTCTCTCCAATTAGTTTGATGTTGGCTATAGGCTTGCTGTATATTGCCTTTACTATGTTTAGATAAGTGCCTTGTATCCCTGATCTCTCCAATACTTTAAACTGAAAGAAAAAAAAAAAAAACACATGATAATCTCCTTAGATGCTGAAAAAGCATTTGACAAAATCCAACAGATCACCTTTCTTACAGTTTCTATTAGAAACTGCTTTTTACCACTCACATGTAGCTTTCCAGTCCTTATATTTGTCTGACTCCTGTTTCTTTGTTCATATATATATATTTTATAGATAAGAGGCGAGCCAGGTTTACCAACATTTTTTTTAATTTTAATAAAATAATTTATCATTGATTTGTGATGCTGCTCTCATGTTCTTTAAAGTAAACAAATTTATATTTTATAAAATGTAATACATTATTGCTGCTTGTGTCAGTATATATACTGTACAAAATATGACTCTAGAAAGAAGTATAGTTACACTGTAAAACATGTACCATACCCACATGTATGTGAAATACTCATAAGGAGAATCTTACAGAGATGTGTGGATGAATTTAATTCTATTAAGTATGTGTTCTAATGTGTACTATTGTACTTTTTGTTTGGAACAAGTATAATGATGATGTGGCACAAAGTACCTTTTAGTAAACACTCCTGTGGCTGCTGATTGACCTCAGGGTCCTGGGTTTAGTTTCCAGCAGCTCAAACACCAAACCACATACCAGAAAGCCTCTGATGAATGTCTGTCTCATTAAGTTCTTTTGGATTAGTCTATCTTTACAATTACATTTGTCTCCTAGGCTGTGTTTTCTTGGCTGTTATGAGAATTTGTATTGATTTGTATTCAATTTTCTAGGTAAACAATCTGAAAGAGAACATGTTTAAAAAGTTATTCATTGTATTCTATCCATTTTATTTTAGAAACTTCATGTTAATGACATAGTAACGCGAACAACTTTCAATAAGTAAAAACTGCATGCTTTAAAAAAGTCGTCCTTGTGTAATTTTGTGTTTTACACATAGGATAAAACTGAGCAAGAATATTATGTTAAGACTGGAGATCGCACAGGGGCCAGAGTACTTGCTCTGTATGCAAAAGGCCCTTGGTTCAATGATCTGAAACCCCATCTATTTTAGAATATTATAAAGAGATGTTTCTTAAGGGTGAGATAGGCATTCTTGTATATAAGTCATATAGTTGCCAAGAAAAAAACCTTTTTAACAGTGGTATTCACAATTCCATTAATAGAATTTTCTCTTAGGTGTCTTAAATTGTTCTTTTTCAGTCATTATTCAATCTTTTGGAATTTAGAAGATTAGTTCTGAATTACAAGCCTCCATCAAATGCTCAAGATTTACCCCGAAACCAAAAGGTAAAAGTATAAAAGACTTTAAAAGTCGAGTTTTAATAGTCTACATGTTCTTTTCTCTTTAAGTATTTTGGGAGCCCTTGGTTTTTTATTAGACCTGAAACTGCTCAAATTTCAATGTTATGCCATTAATCTCTATTGCAATAGCTTCCTATTCTTTGTTTCTATATATCATAAATATGAAATTTCTGCCTCTGTGAGCTACAATTGCATACTAATTCAGTATGGTCATCTTAGGACCCCTCACCTTTCACAGGCTGTCAAATTAGAATACATTCATAGGCTACATTTTCTTAACTGACTTCTCAAAATTATTGTCAGCCTCAGCATTCCTTTTCACTTGATCACTCAGAAGAATCCTTTAAAACTGAGTTTTGCGTTGTTTGCCAAGACAAACTTATCTCTTCTGTGTTGGAAGTTAGGGTGGTTAAGGCTGAAATAAGCAAGAAGATCCCAGGGTCTGCTTGCTTGAGTGTTAGCCCTAACACAAGTCACATTTCTTTTTGAGATTTCCTTTTCTGTAGTGTAGACAGTAACAGTAATTATTTCCTAGAGATGCTGAGAAAATTAAATGATAAACATGGAAAGCTCTTAAAAAGAGTCTGCTACCGAGTATTATCAGCTATTTTTTAAAAGAAAGTTTTATTCATATAAATTTCATAATTTGAATAAAATTTGATTTTCATGCAAACATTTCTTCTTAGTGGATAAAAACATTGCATATAGGGATGATGTATTTTGCCAGGTATCAAGTAATTTCTCGTAAAGAGCCAGTGGCCTTAAAAACACAGGCTGCAGAGACAAAGAAGGTGAAGTTTTAGGTTTCAGTGATGTACTGAACTTTGTGTGACCCATTGTTACAGTAATAAATTATTAAGTTACATTTTCCTTTTAGTGTTAATTTTTAAAACCACCTTTTCTGCAAGTACATGAAACATTTATAGCGCACACTAGAGGACATAAAGCCTGAGATACAGCCAATTTTTAATCTCTGAGTTGGGTCAGGCGAAAGAACAGCTACTTTTAAAAAGTGATTAAGATGGTGTGACAGCTACATAGGGCTAGAGAAGTTAAACAAACCTCTTCAAGTGTAACAGTGTTTTCAGGTCAGTTTTGGAGTGCTGCCTCTTCGTATCCCACGTTAGTGCTGTCAGCTCTCCCTTTCATGTCTAGGAGAAGGCATGAGTCAGAATTACTTCCAGGAGTATATTTATGTCTGTTGTGTTTACCTTTTCTAGTTTTCATTTTACTGCTTTACAAAGCTTCAGTCTCTTATTTCTTAATTCGAATGAGACCAAATCAGTTTTGTAACTTTATTTAAAAAGCAGTCATGATCAGTATTTATATATCAAAGTCTCTTGTGAGGGCCTTAATGTACTCAGCACATACTCGAAGAGTGTGTAATGAGAATGTGCTAGAGCACTGTGTAACGAGCATGTGCTAGAGGAGTGTGTGATGAGAACATGCTAGAGGAGTGGGTAACGAGTGCATCCTAAAGGTGTGCTCATTAGCATATGCTAGAGGAGTGCATGAGATCCCATCTAGGGTAGTTTATTTCTTATAGTGAAAAGACAGTTAGCATTTGCGCTCTTTGAGAGACTCTTGGGCAAAAGAATATTGTGAACGTTTATATGAGGGGTGCTAATGGAGGCCTGGCATGGTAATATGGCATGGTAACAGCAGAAACCTATCAGCTTGACACCTAACCTGTGCTGCACTTATGCACAGTTGTCAGTAATGAATTATGCTAAATTCAGCTGAGACAATGAAAGATAGTTTCTGTTTTAAAGGTTTCAATACGGCATTTTCCATTTTCTGTTAATAGTGAATTTACACGGAACTCACGACCTACTTATTATTAAATTGGACTTGAAAACCAATGTGCTAAAATACAGAATGCACCTGGGATTGATTTAATCATATCTTTTTTAAGCAAATAAAGCTTCCCACAAATATTGTATACATTTTAAATAAGAGGCAGGAGTGCCTTAAGAGTCACTTTGTATTTTAAATAGAGTTGGTTAGTCCAAAATTATATATTGTTATTTTAACTATTGTTAAGTTTAGTGTATAGGATAATTGTTTTCTGAAAAATATTGACAGAACACTGTATCCCACATATAGATATTCTTGGAGCTTAACATATTCTAAGACCCTCAAGGTTTGTATAAAAAAATGAAAGTGTGTGTCTCCACAAGAATTTTCATACCATTTTATACAACAGCTGAAGAGGCTGTTGGATAAAAATATACTTAACCTACAGTGCTACCCTGCACAGCATTAAGTTGTAACAGATTACCAGTGTGCACCGACATGCAGATGAAGCACCAAAAGAGTACACGGATTGCACCGAACCAGAATAAAATACCTAGAGGACGATTCCTTTGTCTAAACATGCAGAAAACGCAGCGTGACTTGTTAGTTGAATGACTAGGGCTGAGCATGCTTTGAGGGGTGGTAGGTTAATATTGATGCTGAGGTGCATGTGTAAAGCTTGGGAAACTGTGTATCATTTAAGTGGTGTGCATAGTGTGCATTAGTTTCACCACTCCACGCCTGTTTACAAAGTAAATAAACACAGTGCACAAGTAGTTTTGTGCGTGCTGACTTTTTCTTAACTTGGTCAATAGAGTAGTTGCTATGTTTTATTATACAGTGTTATGCCTGTTGATGGTTTCCTAGCTGCAGGTATTGGTGGACTGAGACATGTTTCATAATATTCTACTTTCCAAATAATCTTGGCAGAATTTCTTTTAATTAAAAAATATTGTGCTCATTTTTATACTTGTTAAGGAGTATCTTCATTTGTCATGAGCTGAGTGATCATAAAGGGATGGCAGGAAAAACGTTTTTTTGAGAAATTATTGTGTAATTTAAATTTTATGATACTTATACCTTTAAAACTTAATTACATAAGGCAGTTGGTGAAAGAGTTAAACGTAAGACAGGAAATGGATTAATTTCTTATGCATATATTTTGTCATTAATCTTATTACTGCTGACGGAATATATTATATTTAAGTAAGTGTTATTTGTAGTTTTTATGGCTTAGGAATTTTATTTCAGAATTACTTTTTGTAAGAATACTTCAGTGGTGTGTGTAGTTTGGGGATTAAAGTAATCTTTCTACTCATTTCTCGGGCTTCCCTTTTTAGTGCACTGAGAAAGCAATGATTTTTATGTAGCTTATATTACTCTGAACATCAGTTATATAAAATTATCTATATTGATACTGCTAGAGTAAGGCCAATTATGAAAATGTGAAACCTTCCCATATTTTAATAGTAGTTTTTAAGATTTGTATGAAAATTGCTGTAGCAAAGACTTTTATGAGAACTGATTTCTGCCCTGAAGCATTTCACTAAATTACATTTAAATGTTTTTGTTATTGTTTTAAAATAAATAGTGAAGAAAATTCTCTTTTTTAAGAAGGTTTGGTATAATAAACCAGTAAGAACTGAATACCTGCTTGTGTGGCAAAAAGAGAAGATATATTGACATCATTGAGAACTGTGAACTCCAGCTGAGAATAGAATTAAGATTTCATGTCAGTGATTGATCTGATTAATGATTTTACCAACAATACAGTTACTAAACATTTAAATTTACAGTAATTACAATAAAATTATACTCTTATAATTTACAAAATAAATGAATGAAATTTTATCAATAAGTAGAGTGTAGTATATAAGCGGGTGTTAGTGTTTATTAGGTCATTAAGTAAGGATTAGATAAAGCCCTGATATTAGTTCAATAACTAGAGACATTGTATGACAAGTGGAAGTTGGTGGCCCGTATTCACAGCAGTGCTTCCAGCAGGTGTAGACTGGGAGGCACTGTGATGTGGAGGGGTCTGAAGAGCTTTGTTTAGATGGGCTGCGTGGAGTGTAGCCCTCAGATGGTGCCTGGCCGGTGCTGAGCTCTGACTGAACATTGGCACTTCTTGTTGCCCTTGCCAGCACCAGCTGCACCCTGCTGAATGGGAGATTATGATGGGCAGACTTAAATGAGGTGGATATTCTTGGCTCGGTGGTGACATAATTTGCTATGAATATGTGACATTTATACAGAAATTGTAAGGCTAGCTTAAGGCCCTACGTTGTAGCTCTTAACTTCTTTGAATCATGTAGCTGACACTCTTTTCCAGTGTGACAGAGTGCCAGATTCGTCCTAATAGATGCCAGTTACTTTTGGTTCCTGCTCAAGTAGCTGTTGACCAGTGAATAGTTTGCTGATTTCGTTGGGTTAACACTTTTATCCCCCTCTCTGCAGGAACATCGGAATTTGCCTTTTATGCGGGAACTGAGGTATCTGTTTGCCCTGCTTGTTGGTACCAAGAGAAAATATGTTGATCCATCTAGAGCAGTTGAAATTCTGAAGGATGCCTTCAAATCAAACGACTCACAGCAGGTAGCTTCCTGTTCCTTTCAGTTGACGATTTCCATTTAATCTTATAGATTGTTATGTCACTTTTCCAAGTGTGTTTGTTGATTTAGGGTGGCACTACTAAATTTTAACTTGAAGCCATTGAAATCATTTTTTTTATTTGAAAAAAAAAGCAAAAATGACAAAATTGGAGGTATTAGGTTGACTGAAGCTGTAGGTTATAGAATGATGGACGTTGATGAGAAAAAAACAATGAACAAAATTAAGAATATTCATATAACTAAAAAATTAAATTATTATGTGTATGGGAGTTTGTCTTGCATGTATCCTGTGTACTGTGTGAGTACCCGGCATGCCTGCAGGTTAGAAGAGGACATTGGGTCCCCTGAACTGGAGTTACAGATGGTGTAGAGCCACCATGCGAATGCTGGGAATTGAATCTGTGACCTTTGGAAGATCAGTTCTCTTAGCTTCTGAGCCATCTGTCCAGCCCCTATAAGTAATAATTTAAAGAAATTTGTGATACTCCAATATAGTATATGCAATTTTCATGCCCCTGCTTTTGCTGATTGAGAGTATTTTTCTTTAATTCCCTCTAAGGGCGTTTTAGTTATCTCTTTTGCTTTTAATGGTGTTATCATAGTGCCATTTGATGAACATTTGATAAGAACAATATATGGATAAATTTCTTCTAAAAACAAGCAGTGTCTATAAACCAGCATTGCTACTTGAAGAGTCTGACAAAGAGCACAAGTAGAAACACAAGTAGGAGGCAGCACTGGAGCGATGTGGATGATGTACACAGAGGAGACTCGGAGCACTTTATGCTATGTGGAGTCATGAAATAGAAATTTAGAGCAGGATCCAGGGCGAAAGATTTGTCTCTGTCTCCTGGATTTTTCTTTTTAAACTTTTTACCTTATATAGAAAAATATATGCAGACATAAAGTGCTTGCAACAGCATTTTATCTTGTAATATTTTCCTTTATACAATTTTTTCAAATAGCCCCGTGCTTTCTGGGTTTTCCATCTACTTTGCTTCCTAATTTATTTCTTCTCAATGCAGCAATACTGGCACATGCCAAAATAAATAAAATAATATTCCCCAAATGATCCCAAACTGCCAATTTTAGAGTACTGCTTCTGGTTCCGAATCTATTTTGCTCATTTACTCATTTTTTAACTCATTTCTATAGCCTTTTCTTTGTGAGATGATGGTGGCTGTCCTCTCTAGTTGCTCTGTTTGTAATTAATTTTGCTCACACTTCCATTCTTTGACAAGTTTTCTTCTGGGTGCTTTCTGGATTCACTTTTCTTTCTGCTTTCTACACATGCCGTGATCTTTTCATATATGTCTATTTAAAGATGGGTCAGCTGTGGGGTTTTCCTAAGAGTGAAAGTCCTCATCGACGTGCTTTGGTACTTTGCCATTCTGCACTTCTAGTGCTGTCATGTGAATATCTTTCCCTTATGTGAACCAACTAGTTTTATCATTGTTGCCTCTTTTCTTTAGAGGTCTTTAAAAGTAGATGCACACTGGTTACTTTGGTACAGGTGTGTGTATGTGTGTGTGTGTTTTTAACAATACACATTAGTGACTTAGTGAAATACCTATCTAAGTCACATTAGTGTTGTGATTAGTTTTAATATATCTTGGACTTGTGTTTTATATTCTCCCAGAATGTGTCATCTTTGGAAATAAACAATCTTAGGGAGAGTATTTGTCCATTTTAACCATCCTTTTCTTACAGTTTAGACGTGCATTGTTACAGGAAAGACTTCAATTGTTCATCCTAATGAACTTTGCTAAAAATTTTGTTGTATAATTGTAAATTTTAGATTGATTACATAAGAAGTAGGGAATAATTATTTTTAAGACTTGTGATGAGTGAAAATGTTAGTCCTTTTCAGCTACATTCTCCAGATGAGTAATTGTTTAAGAATGTGAACATTTACAAAATAATTTAAATCTTGTAGCTTAGGAACAATAGAAAATTATTAATAGACCCAGAGGCCAAGAGCTTAGGGTTAAGATCCTGGCAGCATCATGCCATGCCCTCTGACAGAAGGAGCACCCTTCTTGCCTCCATCATTTTCTGGTATTCTTTGGCCCCGAAGGCTGATTTTGATTTCTCTCTGTGGTCATATGTGCTTACAGCCTTCTCCTGTTCTGTGTCCCACAGGGAGGACCATTATCGGTGTACAGTTCACTTTTATCTAAGCTGAATTCACAAAGAGATTCTTAGTAATTTCTACAAAGACACATAATAAATTAAAGTTACTTTTTGAGGTTCAAAGGGAATTTAAAAATTTGCCACTATTTTGCCCAATGTGGATACAACTCGAGTGTTGTGCTGAGATTATTTGTGTTTTACTGTGTGGCACTAGAGTTATGTTCTCTTCTAGAACTTAGTTTCAGTACTTTATAGGTGATTGTTTGGTCTAAGCAGTGGGGGGAAAATATGTAATTACTTTATTCTTGAGGCTGCTTTGGTGAGTGGACACAAATAACCTATGTGGATTCATCTATCTAGACTTGATACCACAAACTAGTCTTTCTTTTCTTTTTAAACCCAAATCACAGTGTGTAAGTGGTGGCAGTTGTCACGTGAGCCACCACTTATTCTTACTTTTTCATGTTAGGGCAAAAGCAAACAAACAAAGAGATGGCAGAAGGTAATATTTATATGCTTCTGTACACAAAATTAGTTTGAGGTGTAGAGGACTCTAGACTCAATAATTGGGCTTACTAACTGCTAAAGGATATTGTTAAAGGAGTTATGGATTAACAAGTATATATGAATTAAAGAAATGTTTGTCAAAAAGTGCTAGCCTTTTTTTTTTTTGTAAGAGAAAAGATAATTTTGAGTCAGAGTCTTGGTGAAAGGAAATCTTTCATATCATGGATTCATTGCAGAGTATATAGGGAGGAGGTAACTATTTTTACAAACTTATTTGTTACTTTGAGTTTGTGTGTTGTGTTTGTGTGTTTTCTAAAATGAAACCTTGTGATTATATGGTGCTTTGCTTTTTTTTCTTTTTTTTTTCTTAATATGGACTTTGTTGGTCTCCTTGTGTGGCCCCTGTCTCCTCTTGGTCCTTTTTATAAGCCTCTTCTTCCATAAGACTCCCTGCACTCTGTCCAGATTTTGGCTGTGAGTCTCTGAATCTGCTTTGTTTCCCTGCTGGGTGGAGTCTTTTAGAGGACATCTGTGCTAGGCTTTCACCCTCTTCCCTCTCCTGTACTGCTTCCAGTGTCTATCTTGTTTTCCCTTCTGAATGAGAATTAAGCATCTTTCCTAGGGTCCTCCTTTTTGTTTAGCTTCTTTAGGTCTGTAGATTTTAGAATGCTTATCCTATATTATATGGCTAATATCTACTTGTGAGTGAGTATAGGCCATGCGTGTCTTTCTGCTTCTGGGATACCTCACTCAGGATGATCTTCAAAGCCAAAAAAAGCAGGACCTAGGGGCACTGCAGAGACTGATGTATCAACCAAACACCATGCATAGAGACGAGCTAGACCCCTGCTCAGATGTAGCCCATGGACAGCTCAGTCTCCATTTGGGTTTCCTAGTAAGGGGAGAAGAGACAATCTCTGACATGAACTCAGTTGTCTGCTTTTTGATCACTTCTTCCTGGTGGGGGCGACCTAGTTAGCCCACAGAGGAAGAGGATCCAGACAGTCCTGATGGGACCTGATAGGCTATGGTCAGACAGTAGGGGAGGAGGACTTCCCCTATCAGTGGACTACAGGAAAAAGAGATAGGGGAGAAAGTGGAAGGGAGGGTGGGACCGGGTGGAGATGAGGGAGGGGGCTATGACTGGGATGTGAAGTGAATAAATTATAAATAACAATAATATAATAATAATTTTTAAAACAATAAATATGGACTTCATATACTGGTTAAATTATGAAAACTTGTTGCATCTTATGAGACACATTCACAATATTTTTGTGAGTAGTGACTTGCTGTAAGCTTTACTTTTCAGCATTTAGCATCTTCATTAGTAGGATCAAATGCCAACCAAACTTTTTTCTTTCCACAGCAAGATGTGAGTGAGTTTACACACAAGTTATTAGATTGGTTAGAAGATGCCTTCCAAATGAAAGCTGAAGAGGAAACGTAAGTCACTGTGATGTTTAATGATGGGGTTTTAGGAAGCCAGTAAGTGACAGTCGTTTTGTTCTCTTGGTTCAGTAGAAACATGAAACCAAGAGAGACATTGGGGAATCCCAGTATTTTCTGTGTTATTAAAAAGCTGTTTGGAAGTTGTGTCACAAATTTTAGTTAACTGTCAGTTTCTACTATCAGATCTGATATGAGAAAAAAAAATCTGAAAATTGATTCCTGAAAATACTAACCTTGTGGCCATGTGTTTTTCCTGGATTCAGCTTTTCATGAGGAAGAAGTGGTTAGTTGGGCATAAATTTAAAATGATTTTACTTTTGTTAAGTAAATATGAATACTTCCTTTTTTGTGAACCTGAGGACAGGTTGAACAGTTCTTCCTCCGTATCCATGTTCATTCTCTGTTCATTAGATGTGTGCATATAGCCTAGACTGGTGTGTGTGTGTGTGTGTGTATGGAGACTGGGGAGGGTCAACCTTGGGTGTCAGTTCTCAGGTGGCATTCACCTACTTTTTAAAAAGAGCACCCTCATTGTTTTGAAGTTATCTGCGCCTTCTGAGGCTACTCTCCATATGCTACCTTATGTTTTTCTTTTCCTTGATGTGTGTGAGTGCTTTGCCTACATGTCTATATGTGCATCACGTGCGTTTCTGTTGCCTGTTGGGGCAGAAGAAGGCATCAGATTTCCTGGAATTGGAGTTACAGGTGGTTTCTAGTTACCCCGTGCATTGCAGAGACTAAATCCAGGCGCTTTGCAAGAGCAGGCAGCAATGCTAACTGCAGAGCCATCTCTCCAGCTCCACCTTTATGTATTTTCTTGACACATTGTGAGCCATTTAGAAGGCTGCTAAAAGGCTGTCAGGAAACCTGCAGCACGCACATACAATATGTAGAATCTAGTTGTAAATCCTCGGCTCGAACCTCCTTCTTCCCATTGTCTTTTAAGTATCTTCCTTCTCCTATATTTTCTGTTTTAAATTATGTTCAGCCTCACTGTTTTGTAAGGGCCAAGATAACATGGTTTTCAGGGAATTTAAATAATTTGAGCAATTTCATTTATATTTTAAGGCAAAATTCAGAGGAGTTATATCCAGAAATCTAAAACTAAAGCATCTTCTAAAAAAATCTTAAGTAGTCCATTTAGTAGTCCTTGCATATACAAATCAATCAAAAATAATAAAAGTAATGCCCCAACTGACCTTTTAGTGTCTGTGGTGCCACCTCCTGTAGCCTCACGGGCAGCAGTGCTCTTTCATGTAATTATCTGTAGTTTCCTCACCAGGGCAGGTATTGAGCTGAGAATGCTCTCCTTTCAGATTTCAAGAGATTATCAGGACACACCCACAGCTTGGACCAGTGTGGCATCTTTCACATTTACCCTACAGTGTCAATCTTACAACGTAATGCAATTCTAACTTAAGTTGTTGCTAGAATAGTGGTAGAAATTTGGAATGAAACACAAGCTGAGAAAACTCCATTGGCTTTAGCTCTGCAGAATGCCAGCCAGTAATAGTGAGTTGCTTGTAGACGACATGCTGTGAGCTGAAAGAAATTTACAGAGGACTTGATCACAGTATAGTGCTGGAGTTTAATCAGAGATGCTTCTTATTGCAACAGATTGTGATTAACTGGCCAGCATGCTCAGTGAGATATAACCGAGCGCTCAGCACTAACTAGGTCAGGGGCAGCTGTACCTCCTGCTTCAAGGTTCAGGGACCCTCACAGAAGCAAGAGGGAGAAGACAGAATGGAAGATCCAGATATGAAGCACAAAACGCATTTTCTTACACGGCAGAGGCTTTGCACTTGAGAGCACAGTATGGCTGGTTATCTGCACAACACTGGGCCCATCAGCAAATCTCAGCCTTGTACATTTGGTGTGGGAATGGAGGGACTTTGGGCACCTAACAGTTGTTAGGGAGAGGGCATCATTTTCTTCAGCTCACCTCTGGTGAGCTGCTCTTTCTCCAATAAATAACCTGTTACTCATGCTCTTGCAAGAAACTAATTCTCAGTGGGTCACACACAGAAAGGTGCCTTTGAGGGCACTTATTCATAAAAAGTACTTTGGTGGCAGAGGGGAAGGGATGAGGGGAGTCAGGAGTGAAAAAAGTAAAATTCATTATATAAATACACTAATTATCAAAATTTGAAATTAAAAATGTTCAGTACTTTTATATCCAATAAAAATAAACAAACAATTGATCAAAACAAAAAAGCAAAGCTAATTTAGCACCAAATCTGTTGCAACTGAGGGAAGGGAATTGAACATTTTCAAACTGTTGCAGTCATAGAAAGGGTTTTGAAAGCTGCTTTCTTCTTTGCTTGTTTATAAGTTTAAGACATTGGCTACCCTGTCGTCAGGTGTCCTTTTCTGTCCACAGAACTCTTTGGCTGTATTTTCCTTCAGAAATCATTTGTTGCCCATCAGCTCTCAACTGAATAGATCTTAAATAATAACCCCTTTCTGATTGAGTATTTCTGTAGCAATGTGTTTTGCTGTGTAATTGCTTAGGCCTGCAAACCCTGCCTCCAAGGCTAGTTTCCATTTCATCTTGGCTTCATCTTAGTTACTCATCCGAAACTTTCTATTAAACTTCAGCACTGAAACTGCTTTTGATGTTTCTGAGACCCAGGAGCTAGCATCTAGTGAAGATAACACCTTTTCAGTATGATTCTGGACTTAATTTTGGTCTTGACTATATTTCTTGGTGCTATATATATTTTTTCCCTAAATGACTTATTTATGTGTCTGAATGCTTTGACAATATCTGTGTACCATTATTGTGCATAGTGCCTATGGAAGCCAAAAAAGATAATGTTGAAATCCTGAGACTTAAGGTACAGCTTGTTGTTAGCTGCCATGAGGATGCTCAAAAACAAGCCTGGGTCTTCTGCAGGAATGGAAAAGCATTCTTAAACATTGATCCATCTTCAGCTTCTTGATGCTACATCTATTTGGGTGTCAAACATCTGTTGATTTCCATTACATACATACATACATACATACATACATACATACATACATACATACATACATTGCTTGTGTGTTTGTGTATGTGTGTGTGTCCCCCTGCCCCTTTTAGGAAGTTATGATGGTTAGATTTAAAGATTAATCAGAAAGAACTCAGACCCCTCAGAGGGGAGCACTTCGACTGAGGAATTATCTAGATCAGGCCGCTTTCTGAGCAGGTCAATGGGGATCTCTTGTTAATGAACCTGGGGAGATGTACCCCAAATGTGGGCAGCATACCATGGAATGAGCTGTAAATTGTACCAGTGGAAACCATTAGCTGAGGTAAACAGGCAGCACAGATACATTAGTTCTTCTGTGGTCCTGCCTGTGGTTATGGTGGGAGCAGCTGTCTGAAGCTCCTGCCTTGGTGACTGCCCTGAAATGATGGGCTTTTATTCGGAGTTATAAGCCAAATAAACCTTTCCTCCCCTAAGGTGCTTTTTGGTTATATGTTTCATTGCATCAACAGAAATGCAAAGAAAACAGAAGACTTGAGTTAAATGTCAGTGTTTTGCTACCCTCTGCCTCATATAGAACAAGACCTGCTTACTACACTGTCTTCCTGCCCATTTACTCTTTGCCTTTTACATTTGCTGTCATTCTAATGCATTCCTCTGCTGACAATGAGCAGCAATGAAACCTGAGTTAGGAGATCCAGATTGTTCTTCACTTCTTCTTTGTTCTCTTGTCCACTCTCCTCTTTGAATAGGTAGACGGGTTCAGCCACACTGTAGGGTTCCCAACTTTGGGGTCACTCCATGACTCTGTCCCTAAGAGTCTGATTCTTTTGCAGGAAACCTCATGTTTCTTGCCCTGTATTTGATAGCTTTTGAGTTCCCCAAAGCAGTTGAATGTAAAAGTTAACAGAGTTGAGCAGTCACTTTCTCTCCATCCGGTAACCATTGTTCCTGGAGGTACTCTCACTTCTGTGAAGTTTTACTCTGAAATTTGTAGTTTTTCCTCTCAGGTGAACATCAAAGAGCATATTCTAAAGCACACTGCTCAATCGCCTTTCATCTATAACCTTCCACCTTCCACTCTCCAGTCTATTGAAACCTGTTCTTTGGCCTACTGACCTTTTCTTACAATTCTTTGATCCTATTCATGGTTTCTAAACTAGTAGCCATGTTGCTCTTTTTTCCAAAATGTTCAGAAAAAAGTTTTTTTTTTCCTTTCCTATTTTATTTAAATCTTAAGTCTCACTAGAAATATATCCTTATTTACTTTTTTAGTAGTTTTTAGCTTTTTCTGATTATGATAAGTTGATTTGAGCTACCACCTTGCTGTGCCCATCTCCAGGAACATTCTTTGTTGTGCCAATAAAGCCAGAGTATGTATAATGTGTATGTGTACACACACACATACACACATACATGCACACACATATGGAGTGATCCTGTTTATCTTTTGATATGAAACTAACCCATTCCCCCAGAGTTCTTCATGAATTATCTTTGTGCCAGAGGCCCAACACAACTAGGGAAACACTGAGCAAAGCTTTCTCGATTATTCTTTCATGTGCCATCATCCGTTGTGTTTTCTTATAACCTCACTCTCACTCTAAGCTTATCCTCAATGCCTTCAGTGATATTTCTTTTGTCTTTGACTTTGGTAGTAGACTTGATATCCTCTACCTTTAGGTTCTTGATTTCTTTTCAGTTGTGTTTCCCCTGTTTCTATTCATATAAGCACATGCTCTTCTGAGTTTCATCAACTGAGATTTAGAGTGAAGAGCATCTGGGAGGATGCAAAGAAGACCAGAATAGACAGTTACTGAAATGTCCATGCTGATGCCTTAGGGAAAGGCCCAGTGGTCCTTCAGTGGAGAGCATGCTAGTTTACACGGGTGGTTTGAAAATAAGAAGAGTTCAGAGTTAGGATAGCCATTCATACCCAGTTGTTTCTGCAAAGTTGTGAAATCAAAGTCATCAGACTGGTCATTACTCTTTCTAAGAGTTAATTTGTGTGGTTAGAAAGGAAGAGAGGCCTAGAATATTAATTTTTTACATGGAAATGTTGATTTAATATTAGTAATTATATTTAAGCGTCAGAGATTTTGTATGTTTTTACTATGTCAAATCAGTCTCCAGAAACTTTGATTATCACAGGTAAGAAAAAAATCTTTATTATAACAATGCCCAAAGATTAAGTTTTTGTGTTATATAAACACCTTGATTTTGTAGTCAGAGATAATTTAACTGCTGGTACAACATAATTGTGTGGGTAACAACAGCCCCAAACTAGTGACTTAATACAATTTCCTCACATGTTCCCAGGGTATATAAGTAAGGGTCTCTACTCTCTGCATACTCAAGGCTGCGGGCCAGCAGAAGCCTCTGCTAGGCAAAAACTCACAGTCAACACACACAATATCAACCTGGCAATGAAAATTAACATTAACGTTCAAGGTTTCTGCCCTGGAGGGTCACACGCCACTTTTGCTTCCACTTCACTGGTGTGAGCAAGTTGCATAACTTGCCTTATTGTAGAGGGAGGGGGACACTTCACGCCCTTAGGGTGGCTGCTATCCAAACGATGCCAAATAATGTGAAGCCAGGGCCTTTGTGCAGTGTTGATGTAGGGAATAGTACAGCAGGCAAATAACACAGTGTGGTCGTTCTCCAAAGACTAGAAATAGTTGCCGTGTGATCTGCATCCTGTCTTGTAGACATGTGTACTAGTCAGTTGAAAACAGTGTCTGAAGCAGAATTTGTATTCCCATGCTCACGCAAGCTGTACTCCAGTGGCCAAATGCTCATTGTTAATTTGTGAACAAACAATAGTGTATTATTCAGCTTCCAATAAATGGGAATTCTGATCCTTCATGGATGGACCTTGAAGTCACATCAAGTGGAATTAAACTAATCATGTTCATTTTTGTATGAGACATCAAGCTGTCAAGTTCAAATTAACAGAAGCACATACAAGATGGGATTGCTGTAATAGCAAAGTGCCCCTTACATGTGCCTAAGATCTTGTGATGACCTGTGTAACACATTGAACAAGAGACTGGTGTTTTACTCTCTCTTCACAAGTTGGTTTTATTAATTTAAAGACAAAATATAATAAGAAAAATTTTATACAGCTGTGAATAGAGCAAAGTTTTTTTTACAGACCAGAATTAACAGTGTCTTTGAGAGGTGCATAATATAAGTCCTAAACAGAGAATATAAAAACCGCTGCTCTTCCTCATTTCCTTCAAACGAAAAAGGAACTGTGTTGTGGTGAGCAGCTTGGGACCTTGTGCAGATGACCGTACAAACTAACTGACCTTAGGAAAGGACGCCCGCACTACAGGCCTCTGTTTCAGAGCTGCGGCCTTTGCCTCCTTCACTGGTGGCAGTTGCTGCTGTAGTTTCTATCAGTTTTCTATGTAAACGGGACAAAAGGGTTTAAATGTTTTTTTGTTTGTTTTTTTTTTTTTTTAAGAAATATATTTGGGATGAACACCCCTTTATCTTCCCAGAAAAGGCTGTATTGTACAGGTTAAAAAAAGGATGAGATGGAAATGTATAGCGACAATAAGAAGAGCAAGTTCCTTGTGAGCGTAGCTGACTTCTCTCCTGAGTTGGCCCCTTGCAGTAACTCATTCAGCCCTCATATCCATCCTGCCAGCTCAATTACTGTAATTATCCTTAGCTGACAGGTGAAGAAATTGAAGAATAAATTTAAGTGCTTTGCCCAAGGTGACCCAATAAATAACAGAGCCCTGTGCGTGATAGTCATGCAAATGGTATCCTCTCATCATATACTGTTCCTTCTAATAGTTCTTTTTATGTTTTTTCAGATATTTATAGGTCTGAGAGTTATAAGCATATTTATTTCTTTTAAACATGCCTTAGGGATGAAGAAAAGCCAAAGAACCCTATGGTAGAGTTGTTCTACGGAAGATTCCTAGCTGTGGGAATGCTGGAAGGTAAAGTTGCCTGTTTCCTTTTATTATGAGTCAAGGTGTGTTCTAATGGCTCTTCCGTCTTGACTGTGTTTATTGGTGGTCTTTACTTGTAACTGGCTCTACTCTGCTGGTAGCTCTTTCCCAGCTAATCCTTTGCCCAGAGAGCTGAGACCTGACTAACTTCATGTGTTCACCCTGCACTTCCTTTTCTCTCATTTCTCCCTTCAGTAAGTGGGTCTTTGTGACAGACAGCTGATGCGGTGTTAAAAGTTTATGATTTTCAAGTATGTCACAATCTGGATTTTAATATTAGAGATCTTCAACCCAAGGAATTAGCTCAGTGGTAGAGTGGAAGTAAACGTTTCCATCCTGAATCCCTGCTGAAAAGGGGAGGGAGAAGAAAAAGAGGCGCAACAACTCAACCAAACATCAGCAGATTTTCCATAATTAGAAACCTCACAGATCTCGAAACATTTATGGCCTCAGGCAGCTCACACACCGAACTTGCAGCCTGTGCTGGAGTTGAATAGCAGTCATGGTATGATATTCACTTTTTGATATTTGAATTCAACAACTCTGCATTGAGTGTTTCAGGGTCATTATACTATCCTTACACATTTTCAAGAAATGAAAGTATTTTTCTTTTGAATATAAGCTAAGAGAGATTCTCCTCATTGTCTGCTACATACTTTTAAAAATTAGACCTCTTAAATTTCTGTTTTATTTTTCTAATAAGGGAGGAGTCAGGATCATTAAATGTAAGTTTTTCTAATCTTTGATTCTGAGTTATAAACCTTAGAGAAAAATCCCACATCACAGAGAATTTTTTTCACATTGCTCAAAGTATAGCAATTAAGAAATTGTCTTTCTGTACTGTCCTGAATAGGGCAGATACAAACAGCATGTTAGCCATTTAGAAGGTAAAAGGAAGATGAGTGCATTGTGAGTGAACTCTTTTATGCAGTATGTTACATAAGCCTTCTTAGTTCTATGTTCTGACTCAGCACAAGTAGGAGTAGGAAAATCAGGAAGTAAGTCTAAGCAGGTTTGGATTGGGCATATTTCTACTTGAACTGTATTTGTTAGAGTGAAATAAGTTTAGAGCACTTTTCCTGCCATGTTTTCGGTTCTCATCCTCACACTCTGTTTTATTCCAGTGATCCCTCGCAGCCAAAGTGCTGTTGCTTTGCTAACACCCATGCAGAGTGCCCTCAGCATATGCAGAAGTTCTGTTCCAGTGACCTAACTTTTGCTCCTCTCAGGCCTTTGCTGTACACACTCCCCTTTTCCTTCTGGTGTTCATCAATATCACTCTTACAAACACCTAAATCTGCCTTTTGCCCCATTCCCTCTGGCACCAACTCCCTGACTATCCTGACTCCTGTAAAACTCTTCACCGTCCCCTCCATATACTGATTACCTGAGTGTTGCTGAGTAAAACTTAGACAAGAAGATGGTTTTAAGAGCCCATGACTTCGCACTGATATTACAGAAATCTGAACCCTGGGGTTAAAGGAAGGACTTCAGAAGTGAACTCAAGGCACTTACACTTTTAACCTCACCTGGGAACAGTCTTCTCTCCATTTCCTCAGGAACTATTTTTATTTCCCTACTCATTTCAAGTCTAGATTTCTGTTGTTGTTTGCTTGTTTTTTGGTCTTTTCAATCTCTGAGAAACATCTTTCTAATTTTGATGGAGTTATTTTGAGGCCTGTGAAGTCTACCCAACACTCTGAATTAAATTTCTTAATTTTTTTTTTTTTTTTGAAGAAAATGCTTCCCTCTGTTTATGGGCTTCAGCACCATATTCTTGTCATCACCCTCTTTATAAAATAAATATAGAAGACCATGCTTCTATGCTCTAGAGTCTGTATTCACTCTCTTTCCTGAGTCTTTAACTTCTTTCTCTCCCTGTGGTTCACCTCAGTATTTTCATGTGTTCCACTGTACTTCATATCACAAAAATTAAAAAGAGAACATGTCTGATATTCTTTTTTTCTAAGCATGGATTCCTACTTATAGGTAAGCCCCTTGTGTAGTGAGGAGATAGCTTCCATAGTTTGTACATGTGTTGCTTTAGTTGCTGGCATCACAATTCTGGAAAAAAAAAAGCATACCTTGTAAGATTATTGATTTCCTAGCTATGAGCAAATGCACAGAATGCAGTTCAGTTCTTTCGCTGAATCATTGTTAAGGCATTAGGCATTGGCTCTTTCTTCTCTTATTTATCTTGCCTCTTTCTTAAAAACAAATTTCTGTAGCCTCTGGAACATTACATTAATTTGGCTTTTTTCTGCCTATGTGAGCACTTAGGAGGTGTGTGTGTGTGTGTGTGTGTGTGTGTGTGTGTGTGTGTGGTGTCTGTATTTCTTATTGTATGTGAAGGTAGGTCCCTTGGGGCTTGCTATAAGCTTCCTTCCCTCTGTACAGTTCTGTAGGCAGTCTTATTCCCCACCATGATATTGTGCTATTAGTAAGTCAGAGGTTCAGAAATACTTACATCCATCTCCTGAAATGGAAATCTTCTGGCCACTCTGAACCAGTGATTTTTACTGCTCCAGAACAGAGAGAGGAAGTAGTTCTAGACCTATGCATTCAGTGACTAGGAACCATCCATTGTCCATGGGAGAGATTTGGGTCTCTCTAATCCTCCTCTTCTTACTTAGCATCTGCATCCTGTCTACAAGCCGGCCATGTAGGCCCTGGTCATACTTCATTTTGTGTATTAGTGTAAGTGTGTGTTTCTACCAAAGCAAGCCATAGGAGCTTCTGATTCTAGAGCTCATGGGTATGACTGCGCTGTGTTTCTATTTTGCTGAAAATTCTAATCAGGATTGGAAGATATAACTCTTGACCTCTACCTAACTACATTATGAACATTATTAACTACATTAAGAACAACTCTAAGTTGTTCTTATCTTCTTTTTTTTCCTTAAACATGCCAAGTGTATGAGCCTTAATACAGTTCAGTTGTTCCTTGTTCCAAAAATGCCCAACAACCCTAAAATCTGGCCTCATTAACATCTACTCACTGTTTAAGTTCAAGTCTCAATTCATTGCCCGTGGGAGACTTCATTGCCCTACTATCTATTTTATTGTACTTTTATTCAATATTTTGTTGTCCTACTGAATAATCAGTTGGTTTAGGACAAGACATGTGTCTCTGTGATGTTTTCCAGTAAAGCAAATTACTGTCACACACAGATACACATACATGTAAATTTATATGTGCATATATACAAACAACTAGTGTTAGCACAATATTTTTCCTTGAGAGCTCATATACATACGAGTTATAATTACTGTCTCTGCCTAGGCGTGAATGAATTCACATGCACATATGTATATGCCTGTAGAAAAACTCTTTTAACCCATTGTCATGCGTATGAATGTGTGTGTGTGTGTGTGTGTGTGTGTGTCTGTGTGTGTGTGTGTGTCTAGGAAAGCTCAACTCACCCATTCTTCTCTGGACAACAGTCACTGGCGCTTTTTCAGGTTCATGAAAGAATCTACATATATCATATATACGCTTAATTTTAGTAGCTGAAAAGCCAAATTGAGGAACATTAATTAACTTCTCCAACCATTCTATAGGAAAAAAATTTGAAAACACTGAAATGTTTGGTCAGTATCCACTTCAGGTCAACGGGTTCAAAGACCTGCACGAGTGCCTGGAAGCTGCAATGATTGAAGGAGAGATCGAATCCTTACATTCAGATAACTCGGGAAGGTCAGGCCAAGAGGTGAGTTCATCATTTTCATGATCTTCTTCCTTCTCATTCTCTTTTAAATGGCCTGATGCAAATTTAATATTCTAATTACATAGCTGCTAGTGACAGAGAAAATACTCAAAATACGTTTGCTTTTAATTGCGATAATTTAGACATATTTGTGAAACTTGTACAGAACATACAATATGTAATTTATGTTAGTTTCTAATTCTAAATTTTTTGTCTATTTACTTTTGTTCTTGTTCTCCACCTTGAGGCCATCATGTAGTATGTTATGATAGGCCATTGAGGTAGTAGTTAGCAGCATGGTAGGCAAATTATAAAAGAAAACATTGGTCAGTTTTTACATAAGCAAATGTTAGTTTATAAACACATGTTCCTGGGATTTGTCTGGTTGGATATATCAAAGCACCTTCCTATCGAGCAGGCATGCCTGGTCTTATGAGATTATTAGTTGATTGTGTAAGGTAAGATGGAAGATTCTACCTTTTTTCATGAAAGAACTAATTTTAAAACAGCCCCAAACCTGTTTCTCTACATTGCATATTTAATTTCCAAACCCAACAGTTTACTTCTTTCCTTAGTACCATCCATGTATCTATCTATCTGTGTCAACTACCATAGAAAACAGGAGAAGTCATTATCTTCCAAATCAGTCACTGTGAAGCACGATTGATATCTGAGCATAAGTTCCATATATATGGATGTATGGATCTTTATCTGTGTTGTTTCCTGTTACATTCTTAGTGGGTAGGAGAGTGATTGCAAATAACAAATAGGATAATTTATGTAAAGTGTCTCAGATATTACGAAACAATTTGGAGTTACCAAACAGCTGCTTAAAAAGTACAAAACTATGCTGGGCTATTGGTACATGCTTTCAATCCCAGCACTAGAAAGTCTGAGGCAGGAAGATCGTGAGTTCAAGGTTAGCCTGGGGTCTAGTGAGTATCTGTTCACGAGTTACAGAAAATGCTCAGAAGATCCCTTATCACAGTTTGGCTCACCTCATTTTTTCCCAGCCACTGTAGGTTTCATCAGTTAAAACTTGTAATAAGTTAGTTGGAAAGATGATATTTAAAGTAGTGAGGTAAAGTATGAAAGTAACTATTCTAAAAGTATACCTGCCTGTTTGTATATCACAAAATGGTTGTGGAATATTATCCTAAGGAATCAATCAGAAATTTGTTTATGAGAGAGCAGGGACAATGTTTTAATTTCATCTCACATTAGCTATGGGAAAGAACTAAAGGGAGTGGCTGGAGAGGTGTCTCAGAAGGTAACAGCATGGGGTGCTGTTCTAGAGGACCTGGGTTCAGCTCCAAGCCCCCATGTCTAGAAACTCAACACCCTCATGTCACTACATCTCCAGGGAATCCAATGCCTTCTGCTGTACAGCAGGCCCCGTGTGACACACACACGTGTGCATGCATACACACACACACACACACACACACACACACACACACAAATAAAAATGAAAATAAATCTTGAAGGACTATGCCACATGCTGTGATATGACCTTTATCTTTTAAATCTTTATATGCTTATTATAGTAGGTCTTTAGACAGAACCTTACTCATATTCAATTCAGGTAACTTCAGCTGAGCCAATAATCATTGCTACCTGGGGAGGAATAAAGAGCAACAGTAAATATTTACTTTTTGTAGCTTTCCTTGGAGAAAAGTCACAGCATTAAGGTTCTAGAAGAGTCCTGCCATGTCTGTCCCTGAGCCAGGGCCGAGATGTAAGTTTGCGGGCACCCACTGCGGGGGTGCGGTGCCGTTTTGTGGCACTGGAAGCTATGGCCCCTGCAATGTCGGTACCGCACTTCCTTTAGTAGTCTCTTGTTGCATGACTCGTAAGTATAAATACCTTAAAGTATTTGTTTATGACTTTACACTTCTGAATTTGTTGTTTTGTGAATGTAACCATTCAAGTTTTTTGAGACAGGCACTTTGTGTAGCACTGGCTGCCCTGGACTCACTTTGTAGACCAGGCTGGCCTAGAACTCACAGAGATCCACCTGCTTCTGCCTCCCTGAGTGCTGGGATTACAGGTGTGCACCACTGCACCACGCTAACATTCATTTTTTTAAACAAATAGTATGCCTTTATAAAACTTGAAGTTGTTACATAAAAACAAGCTTTTTGAAATTTGGTTGAATTTCGTGCTTCATTTAACCATGGCCAAATTTTGTATCTAGCAAGGTGAGTGGGTAGGACATGCTCAGAGTAATAAGAAATTTAATTCATTAAACACTTTTGTAGAAAGTGTTTTATAGAAAGTATTTGTAGAAAGTATTTACAATTATAAACTTTGTTTGCTAATGAGAAAACTTTTTCAGAAGATAGTATAATTTGCAGTTGTAAATTTCAAGGTAAAATAGGGAAAAAAAAGAAAAATCATGCAAAAATAGATAATGTTTTTCCATTTTTAGGATGAAAACAGTGAACATTTGTGCCAGATAAGTATTCTTCCCTTTGAGTCAAGTCGTGGATTTCACAGTCTGGTTGATTTCAATAAATATCATTCAGCATGAGACTGAAGAAGGCAGAGCTCTTGAGTCTTAATGGAAATGAGCATCATTTTCTTCTAGTTAGGATTTCAAATGTGAACAATTATGGAAGGAGAGCAGTATGTAGATAAGACTTCCCTCTGTCTTCTTATGTGTCAGACTCACTCTTGGAATTTTCAAATACTGTGGAACCTTCTCAGAAAGAAGTTCTGTTGTAACAAAACCACTGTACACTCTCCTCTGTGGTGTTACATAGTGATGTCAGTGCCAGTATCATGTCATCATCCTTACCAGTGCAATGGAGAAAACTAACAGTGTTGTTCTCTTTCAGCATTGGTTTACTGAACTGCCACCTGTATTAACGTTTGAACTGTCAAGATTTGAATTTAATCAGGCATTGGGAAGACCAGAAAAAATTCACAATAAATTAGAATTTCCCCAAGTTTTATATCTGGACAGGTATGGTTTGTTCGACATATGGTGATTTTGCAACTGTTCAGTGAGCGAGGGAAGGATAACTGTACAGTAAAATCGTTACTTCCTTCAGGCGTGGGTTTAGAGATGCTTGGTGTGTTTGTCTTTGTGTTTGTTAAAGCAATACATTTGTTTCTCTTCTAAATATATGGATATAAATGTAAATTAGAAGGTTAAAATATTTTGTGTTTTATACTTGATATTTTATAAAATTTAAACTGGTCTTTTGTAGTGATAATTACATTTACCATTATATTTTTTATATATATTTGGAAATACTAATGATTGTTAATTCTTTCCCTGGTTAGGTATATGCACAGAAACAGAGAAATAACAAGAATTAAACGTGAAGAGATCAAGAGACTTAAAGATTACCTCACAGTATTACAACAAAGATTAGAGAGGTATTTTAAGTTTTATGAAATTTTGGCATGCAAGCATGTGTTTAGTGATGACCTAGATTTTTAATCTTACATATGCTTTAGCTAAGTTATAATTATTTTCTGAACTTCATTGCATCCTTAAGAGGCTTTAGATTATTATTTTAAAAGTTGAAATTAACTATATGATTATCAACGGCATATTCGACTGATGCTGTAAGTGGAACTAAGGAGTCTAACCTAGAGCTTGGGATTAATTTGTAGTAAAAGGAATGGCAACTGAGCGAGAGGATCCAAACACTCACCTCCCAAGAGTCCCAGTGATTCACCCAGGAATAAGCTGGGCAGTGAGGCAAGCTTAAGCAGCTCAGACAAGAATGACTGAAGTGAGGGCTATTGAGTACCAAAAGGGAGGGGCTATGTTTGCAGATGTTCTTTCAAATCACAATCATGCCTTATTAGGAAGCAGCATACAGTGAGGAATGTGGGTGCCATGCAGGCCAGATAAGTCTGCAAGCTGGAGTGTGCTTTGAGTAATCCCATGAGTAAATGAGTTCTTCTCATTTACCTTTAATGTGCACATTAATAATGTAAGATGTTGAGCGTGAACCTACCACCTTTCCAGTGAGTTTTAGTATTAAAAGGTGCATGTGTGAAGAGTGTTCAAGACATGAAAGAGGATAAAAGTGACTACCTTATTCCCAAGGCCCATGCAGGATGCAGGGAGGAGAATTTCTGCAGATGGTCCTCTCAGTTTGTCTTTGCACTGTTGGGCATCTTCGGTGCAGCCATCCACATGACTTTCAATTTTGATCAGCTGTGGTGTCCTTTCTGTCAGTTTCTCTTCCCACTGATACTCTTTCTGAGAACATTTAGTGCATTTCTCGAATGTATGTTCAGCTTCACCATCTTTAGTAGAAAACAAGCAAGTTTGGTTGCTGACATATTTTTTGATGTGTAGTCTTGTTTTATAAGACTTAATTAAAAATCAAATATGCTGACAATATAAAACATTTTTATATTTTACAAACAGATACTTAAGCTATGGTTCTGGTCCCAAAAGATTCCCACTGGTAGATGTTCTACAGTATGCATTGGAGTTTGCCTCCAGTAAGCCTGTTTGCACCTCTCCTGTTGATGATATCGATGCTAGTTCCTCAGCTAGTGGCTCCATACCATCACAGGCTTTTCCAAGGTAACATTTCCCTACTCCAGGTTGTATCCTATAGTGCATTCAAGCAGGGTTTTATGGAGTGTACATGTGATTAACTGCAAGAAAACTTTTTTTTGAAGTAAGTTCACTTAGAAAATTGGTCTTTATTATTTCAGTAGGTCTGTGCTTATTAATTGGAATCTTCATATATTTTTCTCTGCTCAGAATTTTACTTTGCAATATTTTGGTCTGTAGCTTTTGAATCTTTTATGATATGTCAAGTATTGCTTTTAGAGCAAAGTTTATTTCTGGTAATGTAAGTTGGAATTAACAGGAGATCTTTAGTTAGAGTATAAATTAGATCTTCATTTAAAAATAATAGGGAGGAGCAGTCCTGCTAGGCCACAGAGGAGGACTTTGCAGCCAGTCCTGAAGATACCTGATAAAACAGGGTCAGATGAAAGGGGAGGAGGTCCTCCCCAATCAGTGGACTTGGAAAGGGGCAGGGAGGAGATGAGGGAGGGAGGGTGGGGTTGGTAAGGGATGAGGGAGTGGGATACAGCTGGGATACAGAGTTAATAAAATGTAACTAATAATAAAAATAAAAAACAATAATAAATAAGACATTCTTAACTTTAAAGCCACAGTTTCATCCTTATAAGAGTTTAGTGCTCATGTCCTAATTGTCTCATCAGGCTATTAGATCAGTTCATGTATTTTTTAGGACCATTTCCTCTTGAAGTGTTGAGAGAGTGATGCTGTCTGTGTAGTATTTCCCTGGTGTTTGAGTCTTGAAGTTTAATTAGTAGTGTATTAAAACACAGCATTTGTATTTGAAAACACAGCACAGCAGAACAGCAGGGAACCCCTGCTTCAGAACTGCCCAGCTCTTCACCTGCATCAGGTGCTGCCCTGGCACTGAGGTCAGTGATACACAAACCATTCACCCAGTCTCGGATACCTCCGGATTTGCCCATGCATCCTGCGCCGAGGCACATAACTGAAGAAGAACTGTCTGTGCTGGAGAGCTGTTTACATCGCTGGAGAACAGAAATAGAAAATGACACACGAGGTAAGAAGCTTGCACAGTGTAGCTGTTGTCACTTCAGAGGATATTGTATGCCGACAGGAAAAATCACTTGAGGGTTTTAGTTACAACCACTAGTATTTTTTAAAAAAACCTTTTTTGAAAATTTTTTTTGTGAGAGAAACTGATCTGACTCTCCATTTTTTATGCTGTTTGTGTCAGATTCACAGGGATCAAAAGAGTTTCCCCAGATTACTTAGCTGATTAATGATGTAACAGATGGTCTGATTTGCTAGTGTAGTGTTCTAAATTTATATCAAGCTGGTATTCACAGTTACTTAATTGGTGAAATGTCATAGAGCCTCAGAATTTGTGCTTACCAGTTCTGCCTTCCTCTGATGTTTGCATAATGAACACGAAATAACTGTTTTTCTTTAGTTGTAAACATTTAAAGAGCAATTTTTAAAAATTTTGTTTGCTTTTTTGAAATTGTACTTGAGATTGAAACTGGAGGTCTAGTCATGTGAGAGATGCTGATCTCCATCTCCAGCTTTGGTGTTCAATCTGATCTAACAGATTTGCAGATATGATCCAAGGACCCAATGCCAGTATATAGGAGATTTTCAGGTGGTATACAGCAAAATAAGGATTTTATGTGTGAGAGTGTGTATTGATGAACAGAAATACTGCTGAGTAATTTGTCTTTCTTGAAAGAAACTTTTTATTTTGAACTCATTTATTTTTCTGTTAAAATGAACTTTTTTATTTTAATGAAATAATATTTCATGGTAGAATATATTATGGTCATTTTTCATGTCAAAATATATCCTAATAACTCTAAATTTAAACTAGAAAGAATACATGAATTTTTATTTTATAATAAAAACATGAAGTTACAAACAACACTAGTCTTACGGTAAACAGCCAAATTGACTCCTTATGGTTAAGTGTGAGTAAGGAACAGTCACAGTTTAATAGTGTAAATAATTGTATTGTTAGCCTTAGTAACTAGACAGTTTGTGTTAATACTGTACATATATAAAACAACTTTCCATATTAGAACTCGCTAACGTTAATTAAGCATCGTGTTTATTGAATGCAGTGTTAAGTGTCAGATAAGTTTCTCCTCGACATCACAGACTGTTTCATAAGTTTACATTCAGAAATGTGGACACTAATAAACTTTTGACAATAAGGCTCTACATAAAGGGAGAAAATAAATGAAAAAAAACTTGAAATAATATAAAAACAGACACATGAAGGTTAATAACCACAAGTGTCACAGAGGAATGAGATTGGCCACTTTAGTTCACAGTGGCATGAGTAACTAAGTAAAATATCTTTTTGAGTAGACAAACTGGAGGTACCCTACCTGGAAGACGATGATGAGTTCAGTCTTGGGTCGTTTTTGATAGAGCAGTTTGAGGAACATTCATGTCATAAGATTTTGAGCATATCATACTAGAGTCAGGAAAGACTAAGTCACCCATGCTACTTGTTTTCTGTCTTTAATTCCTACTGATACAATATACTAACGTTGATTTTTAAGCTGTTGTGTAGCATTCTAACATACAGACATAACATTTAATATCCAGGCATTAGCAGCAAAAAGTGTTGGACTATTACACTGTTACATAAATATATATGTATATACATTACATATGTATGTGCATAATATTCTTCAGTAAATAGAGTATATTTTTACCACACCCCTTTTTAGCTAAAGTGCATGTTTTAAATTTTGGCTCTGTTTTAAAATAGTTCCGTGTAAGAGAGTACTCTCAGGATTTTCCCAAACCCTGAGTGTATTTTATTCTCTCTGGAGTAGTTGGGGTAGGGGGTCATAAATGACATTTCAGTGTCTTGATTTGCTTTTCCTTAATTATGAGTCCACTAAATGTTTGTGTTTTAAAAAATGTCTTATTTAATTTCATTTTCCTATTTTGTAAACATTTTTGGACAGTTTCATGTCAAACGCAAAATACTGAAAGTATTATACATATTATTTATCCCTTGTAACAATTTGTGAAGCCGGCCCTTTACCCATTCCTTTATATTAAGTAAATTTTGTAATTCTTATTGCTTAAAAGAAATCATACTAATTAAACTTTTTTGCCTACAATACATGTTATAGATATTATTTTCCCAGTTTATCATTTGGCCTTTATGCTGGGTTTTGTTTTGTTATTTTTCTTTACTTTTTATTTGTATGTGTGAGTGTTTTCCTTCTATTTATGTTGGTGCATAGGTTGTGTGCCAACTGATGAGGCCTGGGGAGGCCAGATGTAGGCACTAAACCCCCTAGGATTACAGATAGTAAGCCGCCATGTGTGCTAGGAATTGAACCCATGTCCTCTGGAAGAGCAACTAGTGCTCTTAACCACTGTGCTGTGTTTGTAGCCCTTGTTTTGTTTTTATGATATTAATTAAAGTTTTAAATGTTTGTAAGTGGTTGCTCTTACATTTTTCCTTTATAATTTCTTCATTTTCTATCAGGCTAAAGTAGATCTTCCTAGAGTTTGAAGTTACTTTTGGTTGTAGCCTTTCTAGTTTCTTGATTCTCTCCAACTGATTAATAGTATGTAATGATTACGTGATATTTTAATGTATTGATAGTTACTTACATTATTCAGACTTTAAAATTATGAAATAATATAGCTTTGAACACTGAGTTTTATAGAATTTTTTCTTACTGTAAGTAGAAATACTGGGGAATGGAAGTTCTGTGATTATATTATTTTTCCCTTAGTTATTTTAGTGTTCCAGTAACTTTTTTGTATACCAATACGTAGTGGATTTTTTCCATACATTCTCTAGTACTATCTCTGTATGTACAGGGTGGTGAGCTTTAACATTCCTTGAAAGCTTTCTGTAGAGACTTGAGTGCAGCTTGATTTTCTTGGCTCTTCATATTCCTAGGTGAGTCATATTATTTTTCTTTTTGTATTTTAAACTATCTTTGTACTGAACATCTCATTTCACACAGACTCTAATGGTAGCATCTTAAAGAATAGTTTAGGAAACTTTTCTTCTTCTCTAGTGTGATTATAAGAAAACTTTGATCCCTCTCTTATTAGTCTCGGTAGAAATCCAGGTGACATTTATCATCCATTAAGTCACATCTTATATCCGTAGATCTGCAGGAAAGCATATCCAGAATCCATCGAACAATTGAACTTATGTACTCTGACAAATCCATGATCCAAGTAAGTGAAAGCTTAGCTGATAATCATTGTCAGAACTGTTGACATACTCGCTAATTCAGCTTCATATTATTTTTAAGGATTTACTTTATATTTATGTGTATATTAGTGCTGGTAGAGGCTAAAGCTGTTGCATGACTTTAGAACTGGAGGAACAGGTAATTGTGAACTGCTGGACGTGTTTCTGAGAATTAACTCAGGTCCTCTGGAAGAGCAACAAGAGCTCTTGACTGCTGAGCTATCCTACCAACTTTTCACCTTTATCCAATTTAATATTACCCTAATTCTTGTTACATATTGTGTCATGCAATTTGGATAAATTTTATTAAAATAAGCAATATATTTGGTATTAGAGTAATTAGAGTATAAACTAATGGGAAAAATTATGACAGAATTTTATAACAGATTTCCTTCATGCTGTACTTAGTTTACTCTTTTTTAAAGCTTACAAAAAAATTTACAATTTTCCAGCAACTTAATTTAAAAATTATGTCCACAGTGAGAAAATACATGACTATTTAAAGATACATAATTTTGGGGAGAAATTCTGAAGCTCAGTTAAACTCTAACATTGTCCTGGGAATGGTAGCACATGCTTCTAAACCAGCAGCTAGGATGTTGAGGCAGGTAGACATATGTGGGTTAGAGGGCAATGAGGATCACATAGGAAGTAACAGTTTCCAAACAGCACCAAAACATGAAAACTTACTCTGGATATGCATTGATTATGCAGTCTAGTTTTTTAGCGATGAGAATTGAGATGGCTGAGAGAAAAAGTGTGTATTAAATGATTATTGTACCTCCTTGGTTTTGTAGAAATAAGTAGTAGGTCAGTCACTAACATGCACAAAAGTATACTTTCAGATTTGAAAATTATTTTCTCCTACACATGTTTATATATTTCAGTTTATTTAATTTTTGTTTATCTTCCCTCTAGATAATTTTGCATGTTTTAGTTCTTTGTTCTGTTGTTTTTCTCAGAAAATTTAATCCTAGCTACTTTTACCTACTTAGAAACTGTGCCCCCAGTTTTTCTCAGATAGGTAGTTTTCAGGTTTCCTTGGCAAATGGTATAATAGACTGTATATTGCAATTCAGTTTGTTTGTTTTTTTCTTTCTGTGATAGGTCCCTTATCGCCTCCATGCTGTTTTAGTTCATGAAGGACAGGCTAATGCTGGCCACTACTGGGCATACATCTTTGACCATCGTGAGAGCAGGTGGATGAAGTACAATGATATTACTGTCACCAAGTCATCCTGGGAAGAATTAGTAAGGGACTCTTTTGGTGGTTATAGAAATGCCAGTGCATACTGTTTAATGTACATAAATGACAAGGCCCAATTCTTAATACAAGGTAAGAGGGTGCGCCGTCTCCATTGTTATTTAGAGTTTGCTTTTATTTTTTAATGTCTGAGTGATTTACTTGTATTCATGAAAGTGCATCGCATCGTTTAAGAGTCTGGTGCCTGTCCATCAGAAGATAGGAATGGCTGCTCTAGAAATGGAATACAGATGGTTGTTGTGAGGGCCATGTGGGTGTTAGGAAGTGAACCCAGGTCTTCAAGAGCAGCAAGTACTCTTAACTGCCGAGCTATGTCTCCAGCACCAGGGTGAGGCACTTTTGAAGATGGATTTTTATGTGACTATTTGACTATGTGATGATTTTACTCAGAAGGTGGAAAATTTGATTAAGAAGTATTCCCTCCTGACTGATGTGAAAAACTGGAATGAGGAAACAACACAACCTAAACTAGATTTCAGTAATGAGACATGAGCTGAGGCAGTCTCAGCTACATATCAAATGTAAGTCTGAGTGTGCTCCTCCACTGCGTGAGAGCTTGAGGTACTGCAGCTACATGTTGGCTGACATTTGATCCCTTAGCCTGTACAGAAGGCTTCAGTCTTCTGTCCTCTATCACTTTCTCCACTTTCACTCACCACCATTGTCCCCGCTGAATTTTATACATTTTACTGGCATTTGAACTGTACATCATCTCCTCTTGGAGTTTTTTTTTTTTTTTTTGTAACCTTCCAAAAACATTCATGTGTTCTCAAAACATCTGTATTCTAGTGTTTTTGGCTAGCCTTGCAAACTGTAATCTGTTTGGCTCAAAGCCAGAGTCTCTGTGACAATGTACTGTAGTCCCTGTATTTCTGTTATTCTAATACAGGCTTTCAATAAAGGAAAGCTAGATCTCCCTCAGTTGAAGAATAGATAAAGAAACTGTAGTCTGTTTACACAGTGGGATACTACTTAGCCTTTAAAAACAAGGAAATCATGAAATTTGCTGGCAAATGGATGGAACTAGAAAAGATTATCCTGAGTGAGGTAACACAGACCCAGAAAAACACACACGGTATATATTCACTTATAATCACATTTAATCATATAATACAGGATAGACATATTACAATGCACAAACTCCAAGAAGATAAGCCCGATGGGCATCTTAGGCTTCATGTGGGCTAGTTAGAGGAGTGGGAGATATCTCTGACACAGACTATGTTGCCTGCTGTTTTGATCACTTTCCCCTGATGGGACTTCCATATAAGGCCAAAGGAGAGGAAGATGAACTCAGTCCTCATGTGAAAAAATGAGCTGGGGTGTCTGGGTTGGGAGGTTCCCTATTCTGAAGACTAGGGAGAGGGAATGTGGGAGGAAAAGAGGGAGGGACCTAAATGTAAATTCAATTAATTAATAAAAGAAAGAAAGAAGGTAAGAAAGAGAGAAAGAAAGAAAACATCCCATGAAGGCTTGCTGAAGAGATACAGCCAATTTTCCTTCTGTAGCCATGCCACAAGCTTCACTAGGCTGTCCATTTATAACTAGAGTATAAGATGACCATTTAAGTACTAGTTCCATATTGTTTCAGAACATCTTGCATTGATAAGCTGCATATATTATGTGTTTTTATGCTGTAGTTAATCCCTTAATATGAAAGAAGTTTTAGTTCTACTTTGATCTTAGTGAAGTTAGGGGTTATTTCTTACTCTGTGAAAATGTTAATTGCTGCGTAATCAGAGATTGGATGTTTTCATATAATAGCAAAAATGATGTTTCATCAGTGTTAAAGTCACAAGACATTTTAATTCTACATTATGTCTCATCGCTACTCTTCAGAGTCTGAAAACTTGTCAGAGCCCTTAAAGTCATTTTCAAATAATCATGTCATTGTTTGTTTGAGCACGTTTAGACATTTAAGGAAAATTTAGGTAATATTGTTTACTATAATAATTATATATAGTAACTAATAATAAATATAATTTACCTTCCATTTGAAATGTATTCTATTTTGAGCTTTGCATTTTTCCTATAATTCTTAATTTTATAGTTGTTTTTGAAATATGATTTGCAGAGGAGTTTAATAAAGAGACTGGGCAAGCCCTTGTTGGAATAGAAACATTACCACCTGACTTGAGAGATTTTGTTGAGGAAGACAACCAACGATTTGAGAAAGAACTAGAAGAATGGGATACACATCTTGCCCAGAGAGCATTACAAGAAAAGCTTTTAGCTGCTCAAAAGCTGAGGGAGGCTGACTCTTCTGCAAACACAGGTTTGTCTGTTTTTATTAAGCTATATTTTATTATCAAGTACCAATATTTATTATCACTGTTTTATTTTCTTTTTCACATTTATTAGATTTAATTTTGTGTGCATTGGTATGAGGGTGTCAGAGCTCAGAGCCATTGGAACTATAGTTACAGACAGTTAGGTGCTGGAATTGAACCCAGCTCCTCTGGCAGGACAGCCTACTGATCTCTCTCTCTGGCTTTTTTTTGTGTGTGTGTGTTTTATTACACCATATGCTCACTGTTATGCTCAGTAGTGCTCTCTATCCAATTAAAAAAAAAAGATAAAATATTAGTCAAAACTAAATAGTTAAAACTATCTTCCAGGCTAAAAATTGTATATTGACCATTAAAGCTAGCACATTTAAGAATTTAAAGCATGACATTTAACTTAGGAAAGGTCTAGCACTCGCCGTGACCCCAGGTCATAGCTTGTTTGCTCCTTGGCAGATAGCACTGCACACACATAAACCCTTCTCAAGATAATTGCTGAGATTCCTCTGCCTGCTTTGATTCTGCTACTCTTCTGTTGACAGGAAGCAGGGAATAACTGTGATTAGGAAGAGCTCTCAAAAGACCATGTATACAACACCATATATACCATATATACTAATGTACCCATAGTTACCGCATAATACTGGAGTAGCAACATTAACAGTAATTCAGTTTCTCTTTTTTAATTAGATTATAAAGCAGGGTTGGGATTATAGCTCAGTAGTAGGACCATGTGATTAATACTCAATTTTTTTAAAATGATAGAATAATTTTAGTCAAAACTAAAAATTTAAAAGTGTCTTCCAAGCCAAAAATTGTATATAGACCAAGAAGATTGGCAAATGTATAAAAATATAAATACTAGAAAATGTAATCTTTAAAACCATTAAGATATTCAAAGTAGATATTATAATAAATTTAACACAGTGAGATTTTAGGAAATGTGGAGGTAAAATGTCTTTTAATCTTTCTTATAAAATGATTAATTGCAAGTTTGTCTTAGGACCATATGTTTCTTCCTGTAAAAGTTTTATTCCTCTGGGATAGCAAAGTGAGAAGATACAAAGTAAACCTAGATAATTTCTGCAAATTAGGAAAATAAAGAGATGGGATAGGGACTCATATCTTTCTGTCTCTGTTTCTTTTTACCTAGCTCAATTCTCTTGTCCAGCATATGCATATTCTATTCTTAGCTTTAAAGAAATCATTTGCTGGTTTTGTTTGCTTAATATTATCTTTTACAGAGATATTTTAATGTAGCCTCACCTCTGTGGGTTTTAGCTTTACCATTTGAACATTAAACAGAATTACATTTTCAGTAAGAAATATATGATATCATTACAGACTTGTGACTAATGCATACATTGGTCATATCGATTTGTAACTTCTTTTGAAATTAATTGAAATTTTAATTTATTCATACTAAAGAAGCAAATAATTCAGAATCTTTAAAAGACCTACATAAAAGAATTATGCAAAACAAAAGTCCAGCATTTTGGTATGCAAGTGTTATATGGTCTGCTTGGCCATAAAATGCCATTCATGAACAGTGAACTTTACCACTGAGCAGGGCTGTGTCTCTTCCCCAAGCATCAATGGCTTCCCTGTAGGACAGGTGAGCTGTCCTTGACAGATTTACAGCATTATGGCTTCAGTAGCTATCAAGAGATTTCTTTGCTCCAATCAGCCTCTCTCTCTTTCTCCCTTCCTCCCTCCCTCCCTCTCCTGTTTTTTTCCTGTTCTAGTCCCCTTATAACTTTGTTTCACCCTTGGTCTTCTGTATGTGTCATTCTAACCACTTCCTAGAACTTGGCCAAGATGACATTTGTGTAGTCTATTCACAAGTGATTTTTCTTACTAGTAGGACATAGAGGCTGCAAAATTGACCCAAGTCATGGTAGAATCTATGTGTACAGGCAAACATTCTCCACTCATTTACTAACCTACATCAACTTTGTAACACCAAAACATACCATTTCAGACATTCCCTGCCTCTTTATCTTGTCTTTTTAAAAACAAGACTATAAATTTAAGGCTAGCTTTTTATTTCAAAGTCAAACTAATACACATTCTACTAATGTACTCCTCCAGCGTCCCCTTCCCCTGTACACTGCCATCTTATTCTATTCCATGAAAAGGCCATGTCCCTGTGTTCTGTGCCCTGTTCACTCGATCACTGCTTCTCATGTCCCTATGATCCATGCCCTGTTTTGGTGAACATTACTTCCTACCAAAATTTTTGTGTGTTTTGGCATTTTAAAAATTCAGTGCGAATTATTAGATATATATTTTCATGTTTCTTTTTATGTGTAAAATAAACTTGATAGGATAACGATTTTGAGGGGAGCCAAAGCAACAAAAATATAAAGAGAATAAATGTTGAGTTCACACGCATCTCTTTGCCTGATGTGCTGAGATTTCAAGAAGCAATATTGCACTGATAAGCATTGTGTCCCTGTAAGAAGTGTGCATTCTTTCCACGTAAAAGCAGTGCGTCCAGGCTTATCTGAACCTCAGCAATCATTTAGTTCTTCCTCTCAGTTCTGTGGTTACAGTTTTTAGCCAAAATGCATTATGATGTTATTTTAATACTACAGAAAAAAACTTTTACTCTGTTTCAGAGGAGTTCACATATCATAACTGAGTAAGGCTAATATTTTATGACAACTGCTTATTCCATCATTAGTACAGAAATGCTTTCGACACCTTCTTGTTTCTCTTCATAGTTTTCAATGTAAGTAATTTTTTTTTTAAATCTGATGTGATATTTCTTGAATATTAAGGAGACCTGATATGTCTTGGATGTGCTCTACAATTATGAATGACTAGTAGGAATAATGCAGGAAACGCTGTTCAAATAATTTGAGTGATTTTTCCCTTTGCCCCTGACAAGCTCTTCTCAAAAAAGATTTAACAAAGTAGCTACTTAAAGATCTATATCTACTTAGTGATATTGAAATAAAGAATGCAGAAGGACTATACACATAGTCCTCCAAATTGGATCATGAGCACTGCATTAGTTTTGCCCATTAAGTTCTTTCTATTCGTATGGATCTGCAGTAGTATTAGTGTTATGTGGTTATAGAATAATCAGTTGTGGAGCATGTTATTTGGTAAAAAGTTTCTGTCCTCCTGATGGCTTAAACTGATACAAAAAAAAATGGCCTTATTGTGGCAGGGAGTGATTTCTTGAACCTTTTATTCCTAAGAACTTAGTGAAATAAAGATCATTGAAAAACGTTTCTTATGTAAGTTTAAAATGTGTATAAAATCATTATTTTTCTTTTTCTTAAGACAATATTATTAAGTTGGTAATTTCCTGAAGTAGAAAAAGGCCAAAAATAATAATATTGCTTACCTTTGGGAATTATATATACTTTCCTCAATTTTTTCATTTGTTCTGAAAATACATTTATCATTTTTGTTTTGTTTTGTCTTTGTTTTGAGCACTTTGTGTATCAACTTGTTTTCTGCTAGCTTTTCTAGGACTTGTTAGGCAACCCCTTTTGTCAAAGTGACACTATTCCTCATAGCTCTCACATGTAGAGAACTTCCCTACAATAGTGACATTGCTGACAGTGTTTAACGGGTTTGAATATCCCAACATCTTTATGAATCCTTCAAGATCACTTCAATCTATTTTCATTACAAAGATTTTTATAACCTTTCTTAGGTTGTACTTAATTTTGACTTGCTTATTAATGTGATTTATGTTAGGATATTTTATGAGTCTTTTACTGATCCTTAAAATGGTTTCCATAAACTATTTCTTCTGCCTGAGCTCTTCTCATTTCCAAAATAATCCTGCTTATGTGCTTTTAAAGACACAAGTCATCTGGCATATCTTCCAAAAAATCTTTAATAACACCATAGTAGTGTTTACCTTTGGATATTTGTTTTTTTTTGGGGGGTCGGGTGGGGTGGAGGGAGTACTTTGTGCATTGACTGATTCTCTGATTACTTTTCTAGGATTGGTTAGCTAGTCCCTTCTCTCACCATAACCCTATTCTTTTGTGTATATTGGGTCCACAGTTCATTCATAAAGTGTTATTAATATCACTATATTTAATATATTGTACTGTAATAGATTGTAGATTTATCTTAAATTCCAGAGAAATTAAAATAGGTGAAAAACAAATATTTGTCTCAGTTTTGTTGTTGTTATTATTATTCTAGCCAGAGAAAGTAGTTCTGGGTGACAGTTAATCAAAATCATTTAATATTAACTCATAAGGCTTTTTGGAATCACATTTTTATATAGGAGAAAATCTTGGCCCTCATGAACTATAGTGGATTGACTTTATCAATCAGATGAAGTTGTTTTTACTATTATGCACTTACTATTCATAAGTCTTGGATTGATAATTAGACCATTGTCTGACCAGATATTTTCTAGGCCCTTATTTTGTTAAGCTTGTTATTCTTGCCATATGGTGAAAAGAAACGATGGCAAACACATGGAAACATTTCCTTGGCAAATTTCTGTTAAGCCCCAAGCACAAAGCTTAAGGTACTTGCAGGAAACCATCCCGAAGGAGATGCCCTCTCTAGTAGGAAGTATCCTTGGCTCCTTTCCAACATCGCCTCCTTGGGGACCTTGAACATATCAGCCACAACCAGGAAATAGTGACATATGTAGGGAATTAACTTCCTTTAACTTCTCTCTTTCCTTGCTACATACACTTCAAGCAATTCTCACTTCTAGTTTTTTCTGATAATAAAAATCACCTGTATCTTCATAGTTCCCCATATCAAAACTTGGAATTACCTTTATGAACAAGTTATGACCCTAGTATGGCTTCCAAAATACACTTTCCCATCTCACCACTTCCATCTGCCTTTATGCTCTTTTATCCAGAGTGTAATCATCTCATTTAATATGCTCAGATAACTTCTTGTTCCTGACCTTGCTTCCTTCACTGATCTCAATTCTTCTTTCTACCGTACTGCATTATTAAAACTGTAAATAGTATAATTTTTTGGATGTGCAAGAGCTAGACCTGAGACATTTTGGCTTACCAGGCAAGATTTGTATAGTCCCTAATTTTTTTCTGAAAAACTTGCCATGTTGCTATTACATTAGAACTTTTACTATCTCTTGGTCAACTAAAAACATTTTGTGGCATTCAAGAGTGTTAACACTTTGCCCATGAGCATTTATCTTTGGTATCTTTGCTGTTTATTGTGATGTATATAATCTAGACGCTCTGATTATTTGGCTCTTTGTGTTTTCTCTGGTGCAAAAAACTCACTAATCTTCATATTTTCAAATTTATGTTATCTTGAATCCCACAAACTAAATTGTTTACAACAGCCTCATTTCATTTTTAGACTTTATTGTTGTGATATTCTTATGTTTAGTTGCTTTTCTATTGCTGTGACAAAACACCAAAGCCAAAGCGACCTATAAAAGAAAGCATTCAATTTGGGGCTCATGGTTCCTGAGCCTTGGATTCTATGACTGTCATGACAGGGAGCACGGCAGCAGGCAGCAAGGCATGGCACTGGAGCAGGAGCTGAGCGCTTATAAGGGATCCTACAGCATAAGGCTGAGAGAGAGAGAGAGAGAGAGAGAGAGAGAGAGAGAGAGAGAGGCTGGTAATAGTGTGTTCTTTGAAAGCCTCAAAACACCATGCTGCCAAATCATTTCCAACACTTCCACCAAGTTAGTATCAAACATTCAAATATACGGAGGTCATTCCCATTCAAACCACTCCTTGTAACAATTAAAATCCTTCTGTTTTCAATTAGTGGCTTTGTCCATAATTGATTTTAAGAGAAGACATTATTGTTTGTTTTGGTATTCCTGGAGACCTAGTGTCTAGCTTTGTACGTGTTTAATTAAAATTTGTTGGTGAAATGAATGCCCATGCATATATATTGAAATTATAGTACTACATTTTGAATAATAAGCATTTGGATGATAAAAGTAAAATGTTAAGTAGGGGCTGCCTGTAGCTCTGTTTGTCTCATAGAATAGTTAATCAGTGACTCCCTAATTCCAGTAGCAGTGTGAAAAATTTACCTCTTCATTCTTCATTCTCCTTCTTTAACTTCATTGCTAATTCCTTTGTTGTATTAAGTTATATTTCTATTTGTGCTGGCCCTTGGAGAAGTAACAAAGAGAAATAGCATGCCTGCTCAGGCGGCAGAGGATATGAGTTTTAAATAAGTAATAATTAAGCTATAATTGTGAAGTAGTCTTTATTTTTTGTATTTAATGTTTTATTTATTCTGATAGTTGATATTTTCAAACATATACATTGTTACAGAATGTCTGTAAAATAATAAAGTCTAGAATAGTTTAAGACTATAGTTCTTTTTAATATAATTTTTTATTTATTGCAATTTATTCACTTTGTATCCCAGCTGTAGCCCCATCCTCACCCCCTTTCAATCCTGCCCTCCCTTCCTTCCTCATCTCCTCCCATGCCCCTTCCCAAGTCCACTGATAGTGGAGAATTACAGTTAATTCACTTTGTATAGCAGCTGTGGTTACGTCTCTCATCCCCTCCCAATCCCACCCCCCTTCCCTCATCCTCTTCCATACCCCTCCCCAAGTCCATTTATAGGGAAGGTCCTCCTCCCCTTCCATCTGACCCTAGCCTATCAGTTCTCAACAGGCCTATCTTTCATAGTCTTTCAGTCTTCCTCTGGAGCAGGCCTGATAAGGCTGCTCCCCCCTTGTGGAAGGTGATCAAAGAACCAGCCACTGAGTTCATGTCAGAGACAGCCCCTGTTCCCCATACTAGGGAGCCCATTTGGAGACTGAGCTGCCACGGGCTACCTCTGTGTAGGGGTTCTAGTTTATCTCCATGAATGGTCCTTGGTTGGAGTATCAGTCTCAGAAAAGATGCCTGTGCCCACATATTTTGGTTCTGTTGCTCTCTTTGTGGAGCTCCTGTCCCTTTCAGGTCTATCTCCTCCTCCTTTCATAAGATTCCCTGCACTCTGCCCAAAGTTTGACCATGAGACATCTGCTTTAATACCTTGCTGGGCAGAGTCTTTCAGAAGCCCTCTGTGGTAGGCTCCTGTCTTGTTCCCTGTTGTCAAGTGAAGTAGTCTTTAAGAGGCAAGTTTTATATTACTGTAGAATGGGGGTTCTCCTCTTTTAGTGATTTGCTCCTTTAAGAGGAGCTATTTGCCTCAATGGAGACTCTCCATTGTCATATTTTGAGAAGGGACAGAGGTGTTACATCAAGGAAGGATACACACAGACTTATTCAAACAAAAATCCAGGTAATGCTGAGGCCTAGAGACTACACTCTAGAATAAGCAAGTTTCCAGAAAGTAGAAGAACAGACAGGAGTATGCAAATCCATGGGTGTGAGGGAAGCTTCTCTTTAGTGTGCACAGGATTGCTGGTTGTGTGGGGGCCTTTTTGAGCAGAGGATACAACATGTCATTGGAGGGAAAAGCCGAAGCCCAGTTATGTAAAGCTTTTCGGCCATTGGATATGCAGAGTACTGTTGAATATATGATCTGGAAATGAAAAGATGGAGTAGGAAGTATACTTTTAATTCTTTTCCTAATGGTATTTGAAATCACAATTTCATATTGGCACTAGTGTGCCAACTTGTTATTGCTTCTTCTCTGAGAGCACTCAGCTTACAAGGGCAGGATCAAAATGGGAATGGTAGGGTTCACTCAGGGTTAGCATTTGATAGATAGAAACAAACAAGCAAACAAACAAACAATCTGTATTCATTGTGAAAACCCACACCACAAAAGCTGTTGCACTCCAATTCTCCTTTTAGGTAAAACCTGGATGATTTTTCAAAAAGAGGCATTGACATTTTTCATATAGAAAAAATTTCTTACATAAAATATAGTGGGAATATATTCTTTAGTAATTGAGTACTCTTGTTTTTTGTTTTTTGTTTGTTTTTGGATACCTTTTGTTGGTGAGTTCTTGGGGGAAGTGTAGTATAATGAAGGACAGATTTTACAGCAAAGGACTGAACTTATTGCATAGCTTCAGAATTAGAAATAAGCTCGTCATCTTTGTATAGTGTCCTGCAATTTATGTCCGATACACAACTGATTCTCTTCTCCTGAAGCACAAGCAGGAGGATCAGAGTATCTAGAGCAACCATCAAGAAGCGACTTCTCAAAGCACTGGAAGGAGGAAACTCTCAGAGTGATTGCCAAGGCATCCCATGAACATGAAGATAACGGTCCAGAGACAATTTTGCAGTCGGTAAGAACTTCTCTTCTGGCTCTCGAGCATAGCCACGCACAGCGTTCCCACAGTGTACTGGAGCACCTTGTCAGGGAGTCAAGGTACCTTGTGCCTTTGCTGTGAATGTGATCTGGGCACATGGGCTGGCATTTCCACAGTTTGTGATTTTAAATAAAGTTCTCTCTTAAGTTTCTGTTTTCCTGTTCCATTAGTTCCCTTGGCATGTGGTCTGCCAGTACTGGAATAATTGGGAAATTAAGAGACAATTGTCAGTGTTCCATGAAAGGTGTTTAATAATGAGTGAGAATTATTAGAAAATAAATATGATGTGCAGTTTGTGTCTGTCCTGGGTAGTCATTTGTCACCTTCCTGTAGTGTACTTTACAGTTTGTTTTATAGGAGGAAGTTGAGCTGACATGTGAGGTTAAGTCAGTGAGTATGAGTCAGTGAGATTGGGAAACACATGTGAAGAATTTTGTACTGCAAAACCACCATGTTTCAGTAGCTTACCCCATCCCTAATTTTACTAGTCAATATTCAGCCCCATGCAGGCTTTATGGGAAATTCTTTAGGATGTGAAGATTCTCTTCCCAGGGTACTTTGCAAATTTATATGACTTAATGTTCTTTGCACATGAATTTTGCTTCAACAGTAACCTGCTAATTTAAGACCTTCTTCATTAACCACAATTTCCAGGAAATAAGACATTCTATAAGCTATGTTGTAAGAACAAAATAATAACCAGAAATTCTTTTACTTCTAGCTTGAAAATCATATTATAGCTTTTTAAATATGGAAATTAATTTAAATATATTTTATGATTATAAATTCTGCAAATGTCTTAGAATCTGTAAATGAATTTAAGAACATCTGTTAACTCTAAAGCTTTCCTTGGAAAATATTTTGCTTCATGAGTCTGAAAATGCTGCTATTGCGGGCCATGGGAACAGGAAAACCAGAGGAATAGAAACACGAAAGGTACAGGGAGAGTGATTCTACATTATAAAATTCTAACTTGGGGTCTTTATAAATTGGCACCTTAGAACATTAAATCCCATATTATGCTTTTAGCCGCACTCAGAAAACCAAAACTATAATTTAATGTAATGTAGAATTATGTTTCATTTTGGTTCATCTAATTATAAATATTGTAATTCACACAGTCATCACATAAATTTGCATGACTTAGATTTGTTGTTAAAGGTATCATCTTATAAACTAGCAAAGTACTGCCTCTTCTTGAAAAGGGAAGGGAGAAAGGAGAGAATATGATGAGAAAGCTAAGGATTTTCTATATTCTCTTTCTCATAAAAATAACACTTTCAATGTTGCCTGTGAAATACAAACTTGTTGGAGAGTTATAAGCTTTGCTGTTGGTAGCTTGTGGCTCTTAATCTCAGGATCATTGCTTCGGAGCCTGGAAACCACATCTTGTTATATTTCACATATATACTTAGCACATGTTAGAGACTAGAGTGAGAATCTGCAGACTATAAATAAGCAGTTCTGTGACTTCTTTGTATGGATTTCACTTCTTACTGGAAATACAATCTGCATAAACTTTTTACTTGAGTTTCAGTTTTCTATCTTTCTGCAAAATTGTAGTTACCCTGAGTTAATGCATAGGATTTTATCTGTTCTTGTTTCCTTTTGAGAACAGATGTTATGGTGCTGGTTCCTTCTCCACCCTAGGTCTCTCACAAATACACAGCACCTTAAGGTCCAGCTCTAGAGTACTCATGACTGCCTGTAAAATGTAATCATAGAAACTGTCTGCAATCTCCAGATGTTCAGGCGCTTGCTTTTCCATAGACATTTTTTTTCTTTTTATTTATTTATTTTTATTAAGTACACTGTATTCACTTTGTGTCCCAGCTGTAGGCCCCTCCCTCATCTCCTCCCAATACCACCCTCTCTGCCTCTTCTCCTCCCATGTCCCTCCCCTAGTCCACTGATACAGGTCAGTCCTCTTCCCCTTCCATCTGACCCCAGACTATCAGGTCTCATGAGGACTGTCTGCATTGTCTTCCTCTGTGGCCGGGTGATCAAAGAGCCAACCCAGTCAGAGACAGTTCCTGTGCCCATTACTAAAGAACCCACTTGGAGACTGAGCTGCCATGGGCTACATCTGTGCAGGGGTTCTAGGTTAGCTCCATGTGTGGTCCTTAGTTGGAGTATCAGTCTCAGAAAAGACCTCTGGGCCCAGATTTTTTGGTTCTGTTGTTCTCCTTGTGGAGCTCCTGTCCCCTCCAGTTCTTTCTATCCCTCCCTTCTTTCATAAAGTTCCCTGCACTCTGCCCAAAGTTTGGCTGTGTCAGCATCTGCTTCAGTACCCTACTGGGTAGAGTCTTTCAGAGGCCCTAATTGAACATTTTAGGATATTTAAGAGCATGAAAAGCAGAATACAAGAAAGAAATATTGTGCCTGGTTTCAGTTGCTGGCCAGTGGACAGTCACTGTTAACTTGGCTGTTTCTTCTTTCTTTTCATTTTTATATAAGGTTAGAGATTTGTTCTATAGTTGAATTACTGCAGCATGCAGTTTTATATTGTAGTAGGGAGCATGTTTTTCTCTCAGCCCTAAGCTCCAAAAATCTGAGTCATTAGAACCAAAATAAATATACAAATACCTAGGCTGTATAGCTAGGCTCTTCTCTGACTAGTACATAACTTAAAAGAACACATTTATGGTAATTCTGCCACATGGCTAGTTACCTCTGCTCAGGTACCATGCATCTATTCTCCTCACATTTTCCTGGGAGAATCACCCACACCTGGCTCTATCCTAGAATCCTTTCTGCTTTCTGGATGTCCTACCTTCTAGTTTACCGTTTCCTACAGGTCACAGGTTTTTATAATTGACTGGCAATGCATACATAGAATACAGAAAATATTCTCTCTATATTATGTCTTACCTTTCTTTTCTTCTCCTAATGTAAAAGATATTTTCTCATGATAACAACTCAGTAAAAAAAAAAAAAAAAGCCAAATGTTGTTCCTCTCAATAATTGAATTTTTGTATAATGACCCAATTCCATTGTATGTTTGTTTTTCAGTTTTGTATTATTATCAACGGGCTATTAGAATAAAAAAGTTTCTACACATTTTACATGTATCCTTAGAATAGATTCCCCATATTCAATTATTAGACAGGGTATCACATAGTGTCCTGCTGTCATAAAAGTGACACCTGCTGTCAAAATAAAGCCAAAGCATACTTATTAATGCCACAATCACTTCAGTTTTATTGAAACTTAAAGAAGCATTTTACTCTGGGTTGTATTTCTAGTCAGATGTAAAATTTATACCTCTGTGACTTTTCACTTGATTCTTTGAGAACACTTTTACAAAACCATACAGCCCATACTTTTCAGACTGTTTTAGTTATTTCTGTCATGGTAACTGAGGATTTTACTAATTTTGTACCCTTTGTTTAGTTTTTCTTCATTTCTTCACTGTGTTTGAAATAATAGAAAATAAAAAATAAACATTTATTTTACCTTAGTACACCCTCAACTACTTTATGTGAAAAATACTCTGAGTTGAGTTATTTTGTGAACTCTTCCAGTATTTATCAGTACAACATTATGCTTTTGAAACTCAACAGTAGCAAACAAAACTTGTTTTGTTAACTCAAGTCCTCACACCCCCATGTAGCTGTTTTATAGGGACCCTGTAGCTATATTCTTGAAGTGAATTTTCTGTTTGTTTGTTTATTTATTTATTTTTAAGATTCGTTTTGCTTTTATTTATATGTATGTGAGTCTCTCTACACAAGTGAGTGCAAGTGCCCATGGAATCCAGAAAAGGGTACTGGGACCCTTTGAGTTGATGTTAGAGGTTATTATGAGGTGCCTGACATAGTTACAGGGAATTGAACTTGGTGTCTCTGCAAGATCAGTATGTGTTCTGTGTTTTTTTTTTTTATCACTGAGCCATCTTTCCAACCCCCCTTTCTGTCTTTAAGTGATACCATTTTTGGATTGGTTTGCTAATAAGGAATTCCGTGCTAAAGTCTCAACCTGGATTGTGTTGTACTGCCCTACATTTCACTTTTGTTAATGGGGACCATGCACAATCTTTCAAAGGCTACAAGTATTAGCAGTTTTTAACTACAACAAAGTCTCTCTATAAAATATGTGTGAGAGTAAGATTGTTTTAAAATCACTATAGTATAAATATTTAAAGTAATTTCATAAAATAAGGTAATGATTTTGGCAATGTCTGCCATTTAAACACCTTTTAAGTACAAGATAGTTAAATATTAGCTCATAGTCACAACAGAGATGATAAAAATTATAGCACCCTAAATGTGTTACAGAAATAACACTTCTAAAAGTAACATTTCTAACAGAAAAAAAAGAATACTGTTCTTGACCATTACTTGTGTTTTCATTGTTAAAAGTCTATTTAAATATGTAGTTATAGAATGGAACAAAATGTTTACAACATCAAAATTCACTTATACTTCCAATAGGATAAAAACTTGTAATTGTTCTTATTCATATTTCCTGTTAGAACCAATGTTTACTTTTGCAAAGAAAGTTCTGGTGCACAGTGCAATGACTGAAGCTGCCTAAACACTTTCACCACTTCTGACATCTGCAACTGGGAGCTAGAGATGTGCAAGTTGTACACCTGTTGGTTAAACAGGACCCCGTGCAAGCTTCATGCTTACACATGGCTGGGTGGAGAGTAGGTCATACTCTTATGTTCATAGAAATAGAAAGAAAGGCTTCCTGGAGCAACTAGGACTGCTTGTCTGCTTTAAATACAATTGCTAACTGAAACTCAGGTCTTTATTATTTTGAAATACTTGAAGTCTAAAATGCTTTGTGAAAATGTACCTTGCATATTTGGAGGTTGAAAAGAAAGGCTACAGTTTTATATTACAATTTGATTAATTAACCTGCCGCTAATGTTTTAAGTGGTTTCAGTTTATACTTAAATATAGATATTATAGATATTATGAAAGAGATTAAAAGTCTCTACATGTAAAGAGATTGCCTCTGTTGTTGCC